GGTACTTTAGTACTTGGAGTAAGTGGGTTGGGCGGGCTCAGGCATTACTTTGCCGCTTCAGGACATCGCGATACGTACCTTACCGTCCTGCATGTTACATCCCTGCTCTCTCCACTCTGCTAAGGTACTGAAATCATAATAATGATGATACAGCCATGACGTGAAATCAAACCCGCCGCTCATCATATGATTTGATCTGTCGGAGATCATACCTGGTCCTTGATGTCGAAAGCAGAATTTGACTTTGCCCCTTGAATGTGGGGAGACGATCAAATGGCTGTAGTGCTCCGTAATATAGGTAGCATTTGTTCCTGAACAGAGAGGTACAGTGAGCTACAATACTCCATACCTACTTTTGGTACTCATGATAGGTATGTGGTACCCGACCTAGGAAGGTTTAAGGAGCTGAGCTGGTCGTCGCAAAAATTTGCCACAGATTGAATTCATCACGACGCAAGTGGGGCGCATTTCAAGATCTAGTGGAGCCAGGTCATCAGCCTAGCCAGGCATTGGCCAATGTACATGCAGGAGGGATGTCGACCAAGCCGATAGAGTACTAGCGCTAGCGAAGTAAAATATGTCACCAGCTGGGCACTATTGGAGCTAGTTTTGTTAGTGAACCACGTTGCGACTGGGGAATTTGCTGGTCAACAGCTCAAGAAACTGCGAAGAAAAAGCAAGGCGCTTGCGAGACAGGTAGAGATATTGTATGAGACACATGGGCGGATAGGATCATATTGCAATCTCATTAATCAGGACGAGCGATATGAGTGGACCTGATAAGTAAATTATTTCATGCTAGGTGGCTGCAAGCTGGAAGTAGAGGTTTCGGTTTCAGCTAGTGAGCTAGCGAGTGTAAACAAAGCCCCATGCTACTACGTAGAGCTGAATTTGCCTTATCGTCATCATCGATTCGTCCCGCCGTCCCAAAGACCAGGTCTTTAGTGTGGCTCAAAGTCTGGAATTTGGGGCGGATCTACCTTACGCTACAAAGGAGTTTCACTGCACTCTGACTTCGGCTTTTCGCTCCTCTCTATTTTAGCAGTGCACACTTGAGACCTGGGAGATTCCAAATTTCCCCATTTCTCGTGCATCAATTGGCATGCGCGGCATGTGCGAGTTGAATCCTTCAAGCCTTTGAGTGGTCCGACATCGTTTTCGTTTTCCGAGCCAAATAAACTTCGCGTGGAGGGCTCTCCGACGTCAAGCTGTTACTGAGCGTATCGCTCGCCCCTCGTCTCCTTAGGATTCGGTTCCTTGGTCTTTTCGTCTGTCGCTTGACCCTTTATCTAACCTCCGTACTCGTCCCAATTTCTTTTTCACAGGCGTCTTGTCCGAGGCCTTTCTTTCCAATTTTTCCTTTCTTCCTCTATCTAGCATCTCGCTGTTGTTTCTCGCTGTGCGACTCGATTCCTTCCGTACAGCGAGCTTGTCGCTCCCTATTTTGCATCTTGGGTGCTTGGAACTTCCAGACAGCGCCCGACTTTTTGACCGCTAAAAGCGCGAACTAGGTCGACTCGGCAATTCCTCCCCTAAGCGCTGGGGAGTGAGTCGACAGAGTCAAAATGGCCTTCTACGGCGATATGGCTGGTCTGCACCAGCTGTCGCGTCGTGCGGTAAGTACCAGGAGCTGCGATGGACTGCGATAGCAATCCACCTTGGGTTTTAACGGAACACTGACGAACGCCGTCTAGGATGAGGACCCCGACAATGCATCCAACTCGGCTTCTAGCTTGGTGTCCACTTTGGTTCCTGCCCTAGCGATAGCTGGCATCATGGTCTTGGTCTTCGTGATTCTGCGGCGAAGCGAACGTCGCATGTACATGCCCCGAACTTATCTCGGCTTTATGCGCCCTGAGGAACGCAGCCCCCCGTCGGCACCGGCCTGTGGAATTGGATTATCGATATGTACAAGTTACCCGACGAATACGTTTTGCAGCATCATTCTATGGACGCCTATCTTCTGCTTCGCTTCCTGAAGTTGATTTCAGTGATTTGCTTTGTCGGCTGCTTGATAACCTGGCCCATATTGTTTCCTGTCAATGCCACAGGTGGAGGTCGCAAAGAGCAATTGGATATCTTGACCATGTCCAACATTGCACAGGATAATAACGCTCGCTACTATGCCCACGCCTTCGTCGCTTGGATCTTCGTCGGTCAGTAAAAACGGCGCAATAATATTTTACTCTCTCCCTTTTTTTTTTTTTTTTTTTTTTTTTGGAGGTCTGATTGAATGGCAGGATTCGTGTTCATGACTGTCACCCGCGAGGGCATTTTCTATATCAACCTGCGCCAGGCGTATTCCCTCTCTCCCGCCTACGCCAGCCGACTCTCATCGCGAACCGTTCTTTTCACAGCTGTGACTGAAGACTATCTCAACCGTGACAAAATCCGGAAAATGTTCGGCATTGAAAAGGTTAAGAACGTTTGGATCGCTACCGACGTCAAGGAGCTAGAGGACAAGGTTAAGGAACGGGATGCTGCCGCCATGAAATTGGAAGCCGCCGAAACGAAACTGATTAAGCTTGCAAACGCTGCGCGAGCCAAGGCCTTGAAGAAAGGGGGAAATGCCGAGGATGATGCTGTGCCACTTGAGAACTTGTCTGATGAGCCAGATGACGAATCGGGCTCTGTGGCAGCTCGCTGGGTCAAGGCTTCCGAGAGACCCACGCACCGCCTGAAATTCCTTATCGGAAAGAAAGTCGATACGATCAACTGGGCCAGGTCAGAGATTGAGCGGCTCAGCCCGGAAATCGAAGAGCTCCAGGCTAAGCACCGTGCGGGCGATGCCAAGCTGGTTTCGTCCGTCTTTGTCGAATTCTACGCTCAAGCGGACGCGCAACTTGCGTTCCAGTCGGGTATGTCAGGCTTCGGATTTTGATTCAACGAACGTTTAGGTGATCGTCAATGCTAACTAGCAAATGTGGTCAGTCGCTCACAATCTACCTCTGCACATGGCCCCTCGTTACATTGGTCTGGACCCTACACAGGTCATCTGGTCGAACTTGCGCATCAAATGGTGGGAGCGCATCATCCGTTACTCTGCCACAATTGGACTTGTCTGCGCTCTCATCGTCTTCTGGGCAATCCCCGTCGCTGTCGTCGGTTCCATCTCGAACATCGATTCTTTAACGGACAAGGTCCACTTTCTCAAATTCATCGACCATATCCCCAGCTGGATCAAGGGTGTCATTACTGGTCTTTTGCCCACTGTTTTGATGTCTGTGCTCATGGCTCTGTTGCCCATTTTTCTGCGATGTAAGCAGGGTCTTCCCAAAGCCAACGTGACGACAGAGCTGTACTGATCGTGTGTTTCAGTGATGGCCAAGCTCGGTGGCGCCCCAAGCGCGGCAGCTGTTGAGCTGACTACACAGAATTTCTACTTCGCTTTTCAAGTCATTCAAGTCTTCCTGGTTGTGACCTTGGCTTCCTCGGCGGCTAGCGTGGTCACCAAGGTCATCCAGCAGCCTACTTCTGCTCCCCAGCTCCTCGCGACGAGAATCCCCAAGGTTTCCAACTTCTACATTTCCTATATGGTCCTGCAGGGTCTTTCTTTCAGTTCCGGTGCTCTGCTTCAAATCACCGGCCTGATCTTGGGCAAGATTCTGGGCAAATTGCTGGACTCTACCCCGCGAAAGATGTACAAGCGCTGGTCGTCCCTCGCCGGTTTGGGCTGGGGAACCGTATATCCTCCCATGACCCTTCTTGCAGTCATCGGTAAGGCTTCGAACTTGTTGATATCATATTTGTTCCCTACAGCTAACGTTGTCGTCCCGTCGGGAATAGCTATCACCTACTCGTGTATCGCTCCGCTGGTGCTTGGTTTCGCGACCATTGGTCTGTACCTGTTCTATTTCGCCTACCGGTACAACATGCTCTACGTGTCAAATGCCAATATAGACACCCAGGGCAAGGCTTACGCTCGCGCCCTACAGCACATTACTGTGGGCTGTTACTTACTTGTGGTCTGCTTGATCGGCTTATTTGCCATCGGAACTGCAGCCAACCGGATGGCACTGGGCCCCTTGATCTTGATGATTATCTTCCTTGTCTTCATGATACTTTACCACATTTCTTTACATAACGCTCTCTCTCCTTTAATTAACTACCTTCCCAAGAACCTGGAGGCTGAGGAACAGAGTCTTCTTTCCTCCGAGCCAATCAAGCACGGCGATTCTATTGGCGAACGCCCGGACGGCATTACCGCAACGAACTCAGGGAAGAATGGGAATGGCAGTTTCCCGGACGTTGACGCTGCCGAGAAAGGCCTGACCACCGCCCCTGCCACCTCGGAGAAGAAACCTAATGTGATCGTGAAGTGGTTCCGCCCCGACAAATACGATGGATACTGGCAACTGCGGCGCCTTGTCCCTGAGGCTCATGAGACTACACAGTACCCTCCAGAAGTTGAACGCGACGCCTACTTCCATCCAGCGATTACCTCCCAGCCTCCACTTCTGTGGATTCCTCGTGATAAACTCGGAGTGAGCAAACAGGAGGTCAAGCACTCGGCACGGGTGATTCCCATCACAGACGAGGATGCTTGGCTGGACGATAAGAACAAGATCCACTGGGATGTGGATAAGGGCGTTCCTCCCATCTTTGAGGAGAAAATTTACTACTAAGACGCTGGGGTTTCTACTCCCGAACTCCCTTTGCCGAGCCATCATTCTACAAATGTGCGATGTGGAATGAAGTGATTGCGATGCGGAAGACGTCTCGTCCTACTGCTTGATACCCCATTAGCCACGGACTGATTCAATGTCACCGGCCTAGTACAGTTTTTTGGACAAATATATAATCTAATGTATATTTTGGAGTGGATCCCTTTGGTGGACGCAGACATCTGATGGTTTACTTTTGACGTTTTTGATGTTATCTATCATCCTTGGATAGTCTTGATGTCATTGGACTGCTTCATGCAGGAACGCTAGGACATATGAAATATTTTGATTTTTGACCGCGCTATCTGAAACTCATAGTAACTTTTACCTTCTCAAGCGGTCATAATCAGGAGTCTTAAGGCAAAATTATCGGTTCGTTGCAGTCGAGTTATTTTCACCTACAGCAATTGGTCTCAACTTCACCCAAGTCCTAAGAAATGGTGAAATGGTTGAACCCACCATCCGGCTCACCCACACAAGAGTAGCAACCACCACACGGCTGCGTACCACAATCCCAGCATGTCACGAATGGACCAGAGCATCCATACGCACAACAGTTTAATGGATATCCCTCGTCGCTCTGCAGAACAGACTCGCTCATCAAGTTGTGGCTTGGAATTGAGCGTGCAAGAGAATAGGGGAGGATAATCATAATCATTCCTGTTAGAGCGACGGTAATTATAGACTACATCCGAAGTATTTTCATGATGTTTAATGGGCAGTTGCACACAAATGACGGTGTTATGGTGTTTGTCCCGCCATGCGTATGGGTTATATAAATAGGCCATATGGGGTCCCATAAACTAGGATCTCGTTGACAACTCATGCAATATCACCACGGTCAAATATACCAATAATGGGTAGGTCTGCGCAGGGATCTCGGCCTCAATATATTAAGTTGAGGTTTTCACAGACCACCACCGGACCGGCAATCCGGTGATTAGTTGCCTTGAATCGTTGCTTCATCCTTCTCTCTGCTTCGGTCCCTGTCGCTGAAAGAAAGCGGGGTTCCCTGTAATGGACCAGCCCCCGATCATATATGTTTTGCACCTCTTTTACTTTTAGGTTATTTATTTCTTCTTTTTCCTCAACGTTCAGCTGCAACTCTTCAATGCCACGGTAATGTGGTCTGAAACACCGATGGTTTCCCTCCATGACAATTGCCGGTGAAGTCGGCAAATCGGCGACGGCGAGCTAGCGGTGATGGGGGGAACATTTTCCATTTTCGGCAGATGCTGGTCTAGCCTATGCTGTTGCTAGTCTCAAGAGGGTCCTGCAAGGTAATGCTTAGTTGTGATGACAAGATGATTAGGGTATCGCCTGCTGCAGATGCGATGTAACCTTGGTCTCACGATGCTTGCCGGTTCAGAAGCCATACCCAGGGGTATATAGGCCCCAGATTCGAGCACTTTTGTACTCGAACCAACAGATCAAGAAACTGTCGCACTCCTCAAAATGATCAAGCCCTCTATCCTCGGGGCATTGGCCCTGCTCAGCTGCGCCCTCCCCAGCAACGCCACACAGATCTTCCGCAACACCGGCACCCTGGCGGGCTGGGACTCCGTCAACCACGAACACTCCGGTACCGTGCAGGAGGTCAGCAATGTCGCCTACGAGGGCTCCACCTCCCTCAAGATGACCCAGGTCTACGACGCGAGCTACACAGGCCGCTACCACTCCGAGGTCGTCAAGAACAACGTGTACAAGCGCGGCGACACGGGGTTCTACGGCTTCGCATTCCGCCTACAGCAGGACTGGCAGTTCTCCCCGGCGCAGTCGTACAACATCGCGCAGTTCATCGCGGATTTCTCCGACACGGGCTGCGACGACTACATGCCCTCGAGCATGGTGTGGCTGGTCGGGAACCAGCTCTACTCGCGCGTCAAGCAGGGGACCGTCTGCGCGCAGAAGACCCAGACGTTTAGTAACCTTGCCACGGTTACTGCGGGCGTGTGGCACAAGGTGATTATCCAGGCGAGTTGGAAGTCGGATGGCACGGGGTTCTATAAGATGTGGTTTGATGGGGTCAAGGTGCTGGAGCAGTACGATATCGCCACGACGGTGGATGACGACCGCGAGTTCCAGTTCCGGGTTGGGCTGTATGCGAATGGATGGCATGATGACAAGGGCATGAAGGGAACGCAGGGAACAAGACAAATCTGGTATGATGAGATAGCCGCAGGGACGACCTTTGCCGATGCGGATCCCGCGCAGTGGTAGGCGTCGCCAAATCTCAAGCATGGTTCGAAAAATGCGAGGTGGACGGATTTCAGACGCGAACCGGCATTCACAGACAGATAGACGATGTGACTGAATGTATCAGGAGAGACTTCCAAGTCCTAATGCTGCTAGTGCTCAGTGTCCGGCAAGATTTTGAGATGACCAGTTCGCAGCTACGGAGTAGACAAATTGACAACGACTTGACCCTTTCCACTAATTCAAGGCAAACCCCACTTCGTGTGCAGTAACACTACGGACAACAGCATAGTCTTAAAACCCTGTGGCCCGCAGGCCCGTAGACTATCTAGCGTCTGTATTCGTCCATTAGTCCGTACTGGAACCATCTCCATCCCACGTGTGTTTAAAAAAGCTTGCCCTCAATCCCTGATTTGAGACACGGCACAATAGACCCCGTTCTTGTTTGTGCCCCTGCTGCTTTTTTGGGAGCTGCGATTATATATTTGTTTCAGATCCTTTATGCATACGTATTCTCGATTTTCAACACCATCCCTTCTCTGTCAGATTTTCATCAATAATATTCTAGATAGACCCAAATTGCTAAGTAAAGGATGCCCTTGTTTAAGACAATGACGGAATGGACATTAGGAGCAGAGCAGGTCTGTTCCAGCTGTGTGGTTTATTGTTGTAGATCATTCCACTCGACGCGCACCGCACTCCATTGGACCTGTGCTGATTGGCTGTTCTTAGACCCTCTGGCTGGCAATCTGCGACAGGGGCCCCACGTGATATCGTCATGGCTTCTATCCTAGTCTACCACATAGAGAGATATACTCCGAAAGGAAAATTTGATTCTAATAATTGATGCAGATTCACGATTACGGGAGAATAGTTAAAGTCAAACTTCTGGATTGCTTTGATGGTGGCCCTCCTGCATATGTGTATCAATAACTGACTGGGACTTCTGAAGAATTTTCTGTTTCTGAGATGTCACACCCAGATATGCGGGTCCCAATCCACAGCTATCTACGTAATACTACTGAAGATCAGTCACTGGGATTTGCAATTGCGACCCGTAAATCATGAAGATCTTGTTAGTTGTTATGCATGCGGAACAGTAGAGAGTAGATGACCGACCGTTGTATGCAGTCGAGGGACCTTGGTTGGATTCCCGTTCCTGCCGTTTATCCATCAATCCAGGGGACGAAAGTGGACCTGCATTTCCACATTTCGATCCTCCTACTCCTTTGCGCTCCTTCAGTGTTAGGCTGTATGCATAGATTCTGGCAATTCTGCAGATTTACACCCCAAAAATGAGGTTCATAATCACTTTGCATATACTAGGAACAGTCACAAGCCTTGATAAGGCTCTATTCTCAACGTCGAAAGTCAGTAAAGTGGCGTTTCACTGACAGGAGGATAAACTTTGGTCATCCGTGGAATGCGTGGAATGCGTGGATGCTTCAGTGTTAGGATTGCGTGCCACTGACCCACAAGGGTCTTGCCGGTGGAAATCGAAGAAGGCCCTGATCAAGTAACCCACCAAAGGGTTCGCAGTCCCAGTCGACGACATGACGAGTCCAGCATGGCGCTTCTTCTCCTCAATCTCAGCGAGGGACTCAGGGTCGCTTGAACACAGCGTATCCTATCATATCATCCACCAGAGTAAGTGATTCTGCTAAGCATTGCGGATCCAGGCCCCGTTCCTGATCAACATCGGCCATTGGATTGCTGGATGGCTGGGTTGCTCAGTATGAAACATTCCCCCATGGACTGCTACCTTGGTAATGATGTATGCTCATCTGTCTGGAGCAGTTGGTCTTAGATGATCCTCCGGCGCATTGGTTAAATGCATCTCGCCCTCCCCCCGGCAACCATGCAGGCAATCAACAAGATGTTGATGCACCGGTTTGCGCGCCATGGCCTCTTAACGGCGGTCTTTTTCACGCTCTTGATGACAGTGTGGTCGTTGAACTTGGATTTTCTGATACCAAATGTAAGTCATGCGCTTTCACTAACCGGAAGTAGAGGACTGATCGTTAATTCTTGGGAAACAGAGACACAAGACCGCCCAAGAGAGGTATCTCGAGGAAGAAAAGCGTTATCCTAGGTGTGTATAAGTTCCACCAGTGGATAAAACCGGCAACTAACGTGGGATCCTTCATTTGTGTATAGTGTGTTCAGCCATGTCGTCTCCACATTGGACAGGTTAGCCGTCCCTCTGGGTCATGACGACCGTACCATCCTCGAAGATCCTCGTTTCGAAGGGGAACAAGGCAGTAAGACCCCCAGGATATACCGACCATACCCAGACTATGGCAGTCAAGAATGGCAGAACACGCATCGGAGTCCGTTTGTTCCATGCGAGGGCCCACGTGGAAAGCTCCTGAATGAGAGTTTGGATGATCAGGTTGGCGTCTACGTTGGCGTTCCGCATGGTACGTTTTCTCTGTGCTTTTGGAGACCTTGACTGCACTGAGAATGCTGACTTGCGGGCCAGAGTTCCCATCCCCTATGTTTGGTAGCCACGAGGCCGTCGGGTTCAATGGTCAGGTTTCCTTTGACCGCTACATTAGATATGGTGCTTATGGTTTCGGAGAGGACGAAAGTCATGTCTCCAACTGGATCAAGCCATCCAAGGTCAAGTGGAGCGAAGTGGATTGGTCAGACCTGCAGCGCCAGTGCCATGATCGCAATGCCGCCAGATACTCGCAGAAGAATGACGGTCTCTCCAAAGAAAAACAGCAGATCGCGCCCGAGTCACGAACTGCTGTCCTAATCCGGACGTATGTCGGGAAGAAGTATACCGAGAATGATCTTCAGGCCATCCGTTCAATGATCACTGAGCTGTCGCTACAATCAGGAGGGGAATACTCTGTCTTTTTGCTCCTTCACGTCAAGGACTCACAATTCCCCATTGACCAGGTTGAAGTACACCAGAAGGTCTTGAAAGACAATATCCCTGAAGAATTCTGGAACATGACCATTCTCTGGAACGAGCCGATGGTCGCGGCCCGGTATCCAAATCTCGACCGCAATGTCGTCGAGTACGTTCACATGGCAACTGCCTACAATGATCGAGTCCAGCTGACGGTTGTAGTGTCCATCATGCGCAATGGCTGTCCGTTCAAAATTTTGCCCTACGACATCCCGAGTTCGACTTTGTGTGGAACTGGGAGGTCGATGCTCGGTTTACGGGCCATCACTATGAATACGCCAACAAGGTAGCCGAGTTTGGTCGGAAGCAACCGCGGCGGGGAATGTGGGAGCGCAATGCTCGCTTTTATATCCCGGCAGTTCATGGTGACTATGACAGTGCTTTCCGAAAGTTTGTGGAGCAGATCGAAGACGAAGCGGTCTGGGGCCCTTTACCCATCGGTCCCATCCCCGTGAAGGACAGGGAGACCGTTGGTCCCTCGCCGCCGGTCCCTCGCCGCGCCAGGACTCCTATGCTTGGGGAGTTGGCGAGGAAGCTGATTACATTGGCTTTCTTCCAATATTCCACCCCATCGGTACAGACTGGATCATCCGAAACGAAGTATCAGGGTATATAGGAAACCATACTCCCCGTCGAGCCTCATTGATTACACATTCCCGGCTTTCGAGGAGATTGTTGCTCGCCATGGACGCGGAGAACCTCGCTGGTCGGCATATGGGCTCGGAGATGTTCCCAGTCACCGTCGCACTGCATCATGGCCTCAAAGCGATTACCGCTCCGCACCCGATCTACTCGGACAAGAACTTGCCTCCGGAAAGCGTGGATAAATGGTTCAACTCCGGTGTCAATGGAAGAGCTGGAAGCACAAAGAACAGCCCCTTTTCCTGGGGCCGGGAAGCCCGCTTCAGGGACATCTCGTGGTACTATCGCGCCAATCTGGCCGGACGGTTGTATTGGAATTTTCTGGGATGGCGCAAGGAGGGCACTGGAGGGAAGCTGGTAAGAACTATGCGTAAGCTATGATCAGGTAGTCATGCTAATTGCGATGCATTATAGTACGAGACCTTGCACGGACGGGTCTGTCTGCCGTCGATACTTTTCCATCCTGTCAAGGATGTTCGACCGGACGCGGATAACACACACTATAAATTTGATTACGAGTTGGGATACGTTGCCATTCCGTGATACCTCTTCGTTTTGTCGCCTTTGCTTCGTTGATTCTGTATATATAGAGTTGTTTTACTACATTTCGCATTAGCCTGACCAGAGTGCCGGTTTGTCGGTCCAGTCACTGGAGTCTGGAGTCTGTCATCACATATCTTTTGAGTCTGTCCTTTTATTTAATTTGTTGTTTGGATAGAGATCAGGCACTTGGCGTGTATCTTGGCGATGCCTGGTATATATCTATTGATATCCATTGGGTTCGAGCTGAATTCCTTCCGGAGCCTGTTGTCTTTTCATGCCAAATCATAAGGAATAGTGCGATGATCAGTTGCCGTTTTGCCTTGCCCTTGTTTGTCCACAAGCCTGTGGATAGACCAGAAATTCAATATTGTATATCCTGGGCCATGCTAACTGCGCAGTACTCAGGCAGTTGTCGGAATCACTCTCACTCCAGTGCACCAGGTATCAGAGCCAAAACCCATCTCCAATTCAGCCATAACTTAAGGAACCTGCACTACTTATGTGTTTACCTACTACGGGGTACTGCTGTATAATCGCAATACCAAAGTGTATTAGACATATAAAACACATGCGTAATCCAATCTCAAATGTGATCTATCACAACTCGCGACACATTTCCCGATCCGACACGGACCCCGACAACCTAGCTGATAGGTATATTACACGTACAGTAAGGTATCTACTACTGCGTACTGAGTTTCCATTGCGTTCAGAGACTTCCATCAGTTTCTGGATTAGGTTTCAAAGGGAGCGTCCCGCTGTCCCCTTAGAACGTGGAAATTTCCGTCCTTAGTACGAAACCGAACTCCTACCGGGAGCACCTTACGCCCTTTGGTAAATGGTAGGTAATTATGAAGGCACAAATGTTTACAGCTGAGTACCAACTGACGTATTTGACAGCGCAGGCCGTGTCTGATCGATTCCCACAGCATTCAACTATCTACCTTACTCTACTGTGGTCCATCTAATCCCCATCAGACACGATATGTTTTTGCTTTAACAGCAGAAAAAAATACAACTTGATCTGCACTTCTCGCCTTTGGCATTGAGACAAGGGGAGAGGCAATACGGTGTGTCAGTGACGGTGATACGTAGTGCTGACACTTTCAAGTCCAAGGCTGAGCTGAGCCCACACGGCACCATTTCCCCAAAACGGGCCTCTTACACGACGCCGCGTCGCCGGGAGGGATTCCCCCCGGCCTCTAGCGTCGGTAGTGGCCGGCTTGTTACACCAATCAGGGTACGGAGATGGCAAATGGACATGGATGAGGCGGGGGTGCTTGCTACGGTATTTCGCATTGATTTTGGGGCGGTTACTGCGCTGTCGTTCGTGCAAGGCCACCCACCAAGGGTGGGTGGGAGGTAGGTAAGGAAAGATGCAGTATGGGACAAAGGGGGGGGGGGGGCACTGTTCTTCACCTTGTCAGCTAGCCACTGAGGGATTTGTGGGATGATGCGGCCTGCAGCCGCTCGATTTGGGATCTTCGTTCTTCAGTGTCAAGGTTTGAAGCGTTGAGTTCTGAGGTGGTCCTGGATGTTGACTGGTTCCACCGGGAGCACAGACGTGTAGTTGAAGTTGACCATCTTAAAGATGAGCTGTTGGAGGTTGTTTGAATGAATTATCAGTCTCAATACATATTGTAATATATACTGCCCATGACCTTTGTTATCATGGCCTTGAAGAAGATCAAGATAAGTCAGAAACGCCTGCGTCACCAACGCCCATGCTAGTCTGACGTTGTTAGATAGTTCGTAGACAGACAAGGAAAAAAACCCATAACCGAGAATGGAACGAAAGAAATAAAGGGAATGGAGTGGCTCGAGGGTTCGAGGCAAATAGCCGCTGCAAAGGAATAAGACGCAAGGAACTAGCCCACCAAAAAAACATAGCCATGCTTTTCTCGCTCATAATGATAATGATGGTATAGATGGCCAAATGATATGCTGCCCATAATGATGATAATAACGCTGCACGACGCTAAACCCAATGAAAGTTTGGTGGTAGTTCTCATAGAACGTTGTATGGTAGGTGATGACCGTTGTTGGCCTAGACTCTGAGCCGACTGGAGCGGAAGGCCCTGATATCGATAGATTCCACTGAAACAGCCGAAGCGTTGTCAACTTCGATTTCGTCGGTGCATGAAGCCAGAGGTTTACCGCCCTCGGGTTCGGCAGCCGTCTTCGTAGGTGAGACCGTAACACTTTCCTTCTTCGCATCTTCTTTTAAAGACTCCTCTGGTTGCTCTGCCTTCCGATTTTGCGCTTCTTTGGCTGCTAATTCAAGTAATGACCGAAAGTTCTCCACAACGCTTTTCAATTCTGCCGAGCAATCCCCATAGCGCAGGAACTGGTAAGCCGCTGTCTCGCAGTGGCTGTGTGCCAGCTCGAGCTGTCTATCTACCACATCAAAAACCGTCTCCTTCGGAGGAACGCGGCTTGAGGACGCCTCCGCGGGTGGAGGACCCCTGGTTCGCATGCTTCGAATATTGGCCAGTATGTCGCCATCAGAACTGTCGGCCTGGTCCAGAAGAGCCGGTGCTAGACGATTCTTCCTCGCGTCTGGGTTGCCCATGCGCTGTCGGAGCCCACCCAGGGAGATCTGTGACATCTTGCCTCGTCGCATATTGTTCCGTGCGGTACCAATATTCCGTACCATCTCCTCCAGCGACTTTTGCGTGTGGCCGTCGTAGTGGATGACCACGTTGTGTCGAATGCTGACAAAGTCCGCAGTCTCCTCGGCGGCGTTGATGGAAGGGGTCCCGTCGGCACTGCGTTTCCGGGGATTCCCAATCAACCTAATCTGGGCTATCGAGGCTCCCGCTGCAGTGCTAGGGGTTTCCTGGGTGGGTTCGACCGAGGTACCGCGATTCTGGGAGGTACCGCGATGCTGGGACGAAGGGAAGATGTCATCGGTGCGAATGGAACAGACGGAGCTGTTCTTACGTCGCCGGGGCCTCCCCGGGGCGTATTTCTTGTAAGCCTCGGTGTACTCGGCATGTTTCGCAGCGGTATAGGCAGCCAGTTCTGAAATTTGATCGATCCAAGTCGGTAGGTTGTCGCACATGTAGGTGAAGGCTCCTAAAGCATCCATTGTCGGACACAATTGGGGGATTAAAAAGGTAGAGAAACAAGGATGAAGGTAATCAATTGCCTCCAATCCTATTTAGAAATGGTATTTCGAATAATCGTGCCGTCGTCAGTCGTGAGGTTCGATAGTGGCGAGTTCCGTTGGTCGCGGTCGGAACCAGTTGGTTCCTCAGTATCCTCCCATAAGGCGGAGAAAATGATCACCAAAAGCAGGAGAAATCGGGCGAGATAGTAGCGAGCGTTTTGTCGTCTGAGATTACTGATTATTATTGTACTCAATGATGTACGGACACGCCGCAAATAATATCACAGGATAGGAAAGGAAATAGGTGAGAGATGGCCGTCTTCGAACAAAGCCGACGGTCGAAGGTCAAAAAAGAGGTATGGGGAGGATGAGAAAGAAACAGGGAGAATGAGACGGGTCGGGCCAGAATTATGGAGTTGAGTGAGCGGAGGAGGCGTATTACTTTTTGGCAGAGAAGAGGTAACGTTACATGTGTATTACAGACGAGTTACCAAAGGTAGAGGCCGAGCAACGTCGTCAAGGACTCAAGGTACTTGGAGGAAGAGTTCGACAGATAGATGCCAGTAGGTATCCCGTACAGCTGAGCGGTACTTTATCATTCCCCGAAAATGGAGCCCGAGACTTGGCATGAGTCGATGGCTGCAGAAAGCCGCATTTGTTGTTATCTTACGAGTTACGCTACAGCAGAATTACAGGGATATATATTACGTTACCGCTGCATGAGCGAACTGTCATACTCCGAGAACTGTCCTACAAAGGGGACAAAACAATCAAATTTAGGACTTGGGCTAAGAATAAGGACCCATTTCCGACGGGAAATCCCCTGCTAGTTTTTCCTTGGCGGGTTGTCCTGACGTCTCTGTAAGATTATTAGGGTGGCCGTCAGTGACGATGCCTTGGAGTACTCCTAGGTACCTAATATTATTAATTACCATCGCAGTATCTTTTACTGTCTCCACGAACTCAGTAGATACAGATACAATGCAGCTTCTGCTGGCTTCTCGACTATCCAGAATACCCCTCCAACGCCCATTTTAGTTGGGTGAACGCAAACCCAAGACACTGCTGACGTTTGACGCTTGTCAAAGTTGCGGTGAACCGTCCGCTCGTGGATGGAAGGTCTGCGTGCAATTCGATATGCAAGGCAGCGGTTTCGTCTATCACAAGCTGCTGACTGCCAATCAATGCTCAACACCTTGCCCGTCTGCCGTCTGGAAGGATCCTGGAGAGCGAAGCGTGAACAACTGGATAAAATAAATGCATTGTTTCCCGGCCCACGACTCAATGATATGGATCCTTAAAGTTGGCTCTCCACGAAGTATGATATGCGTGGAGGGGTGGATGATCAGAGTGCGCATTGCCTGATGGAGTAAATGGATGCCATACGTCCGTGAATTCGATTCAGGCTGGAAGCCTTATTTGCTTCGTCTGCTCCACATCGAACTACTTGAGTCTCCAATTGCATCAGATAAATGGGTTCAGTCTAAGTAGGCAAAATCAAGCAGCTCCTCGTACGAGGTACTCCGTGTCGACTTGAGGGCAGGATGCATTTGCAGGATCAAGGAAGACACCGAATTCTGAGCGAATGAGAGTACGAGACAACCATATGATGACTATCATTGACCGTTAAGATGACATAGAATCAAGTGTCCGATCCGCATCATCACAGTGATGACGGCGAACTATTCCCAAGCAAGCCATGACACGTAACGGTTCCCGGACATAACAGGGATAGATGCAACCGACGCAGTAGTCACACTGAGAAATCAAGAATCAACATCTGATCGACGAGTGCCAGACTGTCGAGTTGCATTTCTCCTCAACGTCGGACTGCTGCCGAGCCGACCTGCGGACATGAGTGGACATCCTGACACTGAGCCAGAACTTTAACAAGCCGAGATGTCAAACGGCTGACAATTGTCTTGGGTAAGTCCACATTACTCGCTGATGGGCGGGGAGAGCCCGTGGAGATGTCTTTGTTTAGTGGGAGTGTGTGACTGTACTCTGTAGTCTTACCAAACATTAAAGTTCTCATAATAGTCCAATCTGTAACAATCGAAACATGTTTGCTGTGCTGATCATGGTCGCACCGTGGGATCGTAATTAGAGGGTGATCAAAAAAGACATGGAGAAGTCATAGGTTATCTTGCTTAGATAGTGTGCAATGAGTAAGTTAGTTATTGATTGCTCTTTGTTTCCTATCCGTTGACTTGACGTTGAAGCGAGTTAGTTCCTACGCACCAATTTCCGACTTGGAACAAAGAATGATATGTGAAATTCATGCCTGATCATCTTCATGTGACCTGACCAATTCCTTTTGATTATTCCGTTCTTCTCTAGCGTAGAATACAGTACTTTTGTCGCCGAGTGTCGCCGGGTTATTCTCAATCGGGTAATTGGTAAGACTTTCCTGTTTTGGCGCCGGGCTTGGCAATTTGCTGGCCGTCCAGACTCCTCCAAAGGTGTTGATGAGGAAGAAGGATCGTCAAGCTACGGGTCTACGGCAAGATGATGGGTTGGATTATCTTTACAAGGTTTCACTCGATCTTGGTGGTGTCGCAGCAACGTAGTCCATCTGCTGGATGCAGAATCATGCAGCTTCAGTCAATCGAAATCATCAATTCTGCCGCGGTATCGTCGGCTCCCTAATAAACCATCCGTGAAACTCCATGCGAAAAAGAGAAGCAAAAGCAGAAAAGCTAACCAGAAAAAAGACAAAACTGTACAGTACATGCAAAGCGGCAAAAGAGCAGGAGCCGTCCTGGGCCCACAATTCTCTCATTCAGTTGAAGGAGAGACAGGGCCCGAGGAACAGGATGCTGAATGCAAAGTAAAAAAACATCAACCCAACGCCGATACAGAAAGCCGCACCTCTCCCATCCCCTGTACGGGAGGTCAAGGGGGCAGATACAGGAACCGACCACATCGTCCTTGCGCCGCGCTCTAATTACATGAACAAAAGAAACAGCTGATGAAGGTTGCCCACAGCCGCAAAAGCAACACCTTGCAGACCTTCACCAGGCATGAGAACAGGGAGTACTGTTTTCACAGCCCGCTGTTCCACACCTCCACCCAATTGTCAAGTGCTTGCTTGGCAGCTTGGAGGGATTGAATCGCTGCGAGCCACTTGGTCTCGGCGTCCTCCAGCTTCTGCTGCAGTTCTCTGCTGAGAACCGCATGCACTGACAAATGGGCGGCTCCTTCCAGATTGTTCATCGGGAAGGAGGGCAAAGGCCGCGACCCCGGAGCTGTGGCGGGGGACCTGGCAGCAGCGGGCGCCACGACGGGTGCTGGAGTCGTGTTGCGAACTGCCGCCTGCTCAACGGCTTCAACATCACGCTCCGCCTTTGGCTTTCGCCCCCGTCGGGTTCGCTTCCGTGGAGGGTTGGACGCCTCCACGGAGCCGGTCCCTTCGACGCTCACAGCGGCTGCGGGTTTCGATTCGGTCGCGCCCGATGACGCTTCCTCCTCGACTTCGACAAACTTGCGTTTGCGAAGCCCGCCCGGGGCCTGCCTCTTTGCGACAGAGACACCAGCTTCGGATCCGGCGGGACGAGGGGCGGACTCCGTCAACACCTCCTCGTTTTTGCCCTTCAACCGGATCCGAAGGGGTCTCTTCGCTGGTGGGGGAGCCTGGTCCTCCGCGCCCACCGAGGCAGAAGGATCGCTGCCATTGCCAGCGTCATCCCTGACACCGACTTGTGCCTCTGCTTCCCTCTTCCGTTTCCGGGAGGGGACGTTGCCTTGAAACAGTTAGCTCATCGCGATCAGAAGAGAATGGAAGAGGAGGAAACGTACTGTCATCGTCTTCGATGACCTGACGGTGCGTGCAACGTATTTTTGACTTCTTGCAGTTGGCACACGCCGGCGTCATTTTTTTACCATCGGCGCCTTTGGCCGCCGATGGCTGGATGCACCGCTAGAGGATCGTCAGCGTGAACGTGCCATCGAAGCAGAGAGCGAGCCGGATACTAACCTTGCGGCTGCGGGAGGGCTGTTCGCCCTCCTCCACGCTAGGGGCCCTCTCGCTCCCAGCGGCTTCCTCAGCCTCGGACTGGGGATTGGCGAGGGGCTCGCCGGCATGGGACGCCTTCTCACTGTGGGTGTTTGCCGTGTCAGCCTCAAGCTTGACCCTGGCACAGTCGAGGCACATGCTGGTCACCATGCCGACGAAACCCTTCGCGCGAGGGGCCCCGCACTTGACACAGAGCGTGTCTGCTTGCTCGGACATTGTGGTAGTCTTTAGAGCTAACCCGTGTTAGCTGAAATGTCGCCAACAGATCCAAGAGATCGACTGGTATCTCACCGATGTGATGCGGGAGCTGTGCAGGCGGCTTGTGTTAGCGAGCTGAAGCGACGCCACGACCTCAAGGAATTGACCCAGTTCCTTACCAGAGAGGTAACAAGCGAAGCTTGTAAGTACGAAAATGATTGATTGGTTTTGAGAGCCTTTGTAACAGCTAAAGAGCAGGAGATGGAGGAATGATGGTAATGATGGTGATGTTGGAGGAAAGAAGAAGAACAGAAGGAGTGAGAGAGAAGGTGAGATGGGAGGGGTCTTGAATACTCAAGCGACGCTAACAGACAGGGTGAACAAGAGAGTGAATGTTCAACTGAGATGGATATGTTGAGTTGACGCTGCTGGAGCGGAATGTTCCATCTAAATTCAGCACCAGGCTCCACTCTGAGAGGGAAGCAGGCAAGACTGGGGAGACTCAATTCACTGCTCTCTGGAATATCGCCTCTTCTAAGCCCAATAGGGTCGATATATGCTCTTATCGACAGGATATTCAGGGCATAGTCGGCCCTGACCCGGAACTGGATCGTCCGGTGGTTGAGCACAGAGGGGCTGGGGAGAACAGAACCTGCTGAAGCTCTTTGATATTCACTCGTCTGCTCTATATCTAATAACAAGGAAGCACACCATGATAAGACGCCTGTCTATTTGGTCAGCCACGGAACAAAGAGAATAACATGAAGAAAACATTCTATATTATCACATAGTATGTCATAGAATAGTTGGAACAATGCATTGGACCGCTTCACTTCACTCCACAATTCGACCAAATACTTTGTCTACGGCCATAGCTCAGTCTCCTCCCATTTAGCACCATCACCAGTCCCGCCAACAAGGGTCCAGTTCCACCGCTGTGGCTTCTCATAGTCTGACAGATCCAACCGCTCAACCTCATTAGCGCGGATGACAACCACGCGGAAGTTCCCACGAGCAACAGGGTCATGCAAATCATTCAGCTTTTGACCAAGCTTGAGCTCGGGATTAGTGGGTACTTGCGATCTCGGTGTTCCAGGCGGAGGATTCTTGAACGAGCCTATACAGCATCAGCTTTCAAATATGACTTAAACCAAGCACAAGAGACGAAAAAACCAACCTCTAAGAACAGGCGTATGGTTCGCAAAGTACGTCGTCACCTGCCTCTCCCAACTCCACTCCTTTTCCTTCCCTCACACCCATCACAAACCCTCAACCCCTTCCTAATCTCCTCCCTGGCCTTTTCCTCTCCCTCCCCACTGGTCGGATCCCCAATCACAAACGCCTCCCCTCGCACCCTCCACTGATTACCCACATCCTTCAACCAGAACACCGCCTCAACTACATTCCCCGACGCCTCCAGCTGCCCGATCTTCTCCATCCGCACGTCCGTCGTAAACGAGATCATCTCGCTCTCGTACACGGACGGGTTCGGGCGCTCGTTCTGCGACTCGAGGGTCTTGACCGTGCTAGAGTGTAGTTCTGGGTTTGGGAACCAGCCTCGGAAGCCGCAGGTGCGGGTACGAGGGACGGTCTGGCCCTTTGCGTCGAGGGCGATGGTGGTGATGTTGAATTCAGAGGTGGAGGACTGGGAGAGGTGGGATTGGAAGGTTGAGAGCCAGGGGGCACGGGCCGGCATTTTTCCTGGTGACGATGGATTTGATGGGGTACTGACGGTTGGAGTAGCGGATGAGGATGTAGATGTAGACTGGCGTCGTAGTTGGAGGGCCAGGGAGGAGAGCCGTTTGCTATAGATGTTTGGAGCCAGGGTGTGCTGTGGATTGCGGGGTTTGGGTATGTTAATTGATGGAGGTATTCTGTTCTTTGCCCTGCAGAGTAAATGGAAATTTAGCAAGCAGGTTAGTCAATTGGAGTATCTATCCTGCACTGAAGCGTCAAGTCATGTCATCTGGCAGAACGATCCTCAAATGACTGTATACGATTATTGATGACGTTGAGGCCGATATGTAAAGCACGTGTTGTTATCTTATCAGATTGAGAGTCTTGGCATCAATCAGCATCCTCCCCATTTCATCTACAACGGCTGATGCGAGTCAACTAGTTGCTTATCATTATGCCACATCAATCTAGTATGCTCGACTTAAAGAGCTTTTGTATTGTGCTGCCGAGGAACACGCATAAATAACTCCGAGTAAAAGAGAACCCACTAAAACCAGACATGTGCCTCATGCAGACAGAGCCTTCAAAAACATATTCGAACACAAATCCCGTAATAGAACAAGTGAACCTCAACGCCGGTCCGCATTCACATCTGCATCTGATTCTCCTCGTCGCTGTCCTCACCGGCATCAAGAGCACCTCCGGGTATCCGCCCTTCGTTCAATTCCTTCTCCAGTCTAGTAATCTCCTGTAGACTCCTCGCCTCACGGATCATCTTTTCGACCCGCTTCCTCTCCTTCTCGGTCAGCTTGACCCTAACAGCCTTGTCTGCCGGTGCTCGCTCAGCGCCGCCAGACGGTACATCAAAGGTACGAGATTTGATGCCCATAATCTTGGACGCGAGAGCTGTGGGTTCTTCGGCAGTACCAAATAGCTCCTTCGCCTTTGCCCGCTCCGCGTCTTTCACTTTCTGGTAGTCGAGGAATCGGACGCTTGGTATCCGCCAGATCACCCAGTATCGGTAGTGCTACAGAAATCAGCAACTCTTATCCAGAGGACGCGTTGTAGTAGCATGAACCGAATCCTAAGTATGTAACGTGCGCGAAAAAGCAGGGCAGCTCACCTCTTTCCGTGTAACGGGGTTCTCCAGTAACACCAGATGAGTCAAGCGTGTCAAGTTTCGGAGGGGGTCCAAGTCCGCCAACTCGGACATATTGTTCGCCGTGAGTACCAGCGTCGTCAGGTTGGGAATGGTGGAAGCTATCGTCGGCTGAATATGCTTCACCCGATTGCGTGCAAGAAGGAGGGTGTGGAGACGAGGAAAGAAAGGGAAATTCCCCAGGGAGGAGATATCGTTATCCGTAAAGTCGATCGCATCTTGGTCCTATTGCCTATAAGCCTTCTGCACCACTAGCCAACCAGCCGAGCCGACAGGCTCAACGTTTCGAACCGAACATACCTTTGCAATACCCAGGTTTTCAATGGTGGGAATCTTGTGCCCTGCATAATTCAAAAAAATCGATATCAATCCAGCTCATTCAGAAGTGTAGTATCTGTCCTTTTCAGGCCAAAGTGCAAAACCCACCTCGAAGGTCTAGCTCGCGATCCTTGAGCGGATTGATGTAGGAAAGGGAATTCTGAATAAGTTCGACGGTCAATCGCATTGCGGCGGTGGATTTTTATTGCTGCTTCTCTATTGGGGTATCATGCACGCAAGTAATGCGCAGAATCGAACAAAAGGGAAGATAATAATTGAGATGACAATAAAGCAATTGAGATATATCGCAGAAAGCGGAGATTGAAGCCGAAGCTCTCTAGCGCATGGCTGAATTATTGAAGCAGCATTACCTCAAGATTTTGCCAGGCGGTGAGGTTGACCAACTGAGCTCTCCAATGAAGCACGTGATGTTACAGTATTTGATCGAATCAAGAAATATCCAGTACTTCAGCTTATTATGGACGTGCTATATAGGTGATTTCGAGTCTATGATACATGAAACCTCGTTAAAACGTATAAGCCAAATTCATCCCAGAGAACGGCTAGCAGAAAGACGTCGGAACAAAAGCAGCAGCTATGTACTCCGGAGCACAAGATCGTAATATAGAATGACGAAGGAAAGTAGAAAGCAATTCAACATCTGAATCGAATCGAAGAGCGACAGGGAAGTGCAGGTCACCGAGGAATAAAAGTTTTCAGATGCAGGAGACGACGATGGAAACCGTACCGTAACGCCAAACGATATGCAAATTAAAAAGTATGATCATTAGTCTTGATTTAGGGGAGTCATATTGGGTGATCTCTGAGATCTCGTCGGACTGCCTGTCCTAGAGCGACGGCCGTTTGTAGTCGGGCCTAGTGCTACTGGAGCCAGGTGGTCCCTACTCTCCGTCCTCACGACCAACCCGGCACGATCCATGGCATTGACGCCAGAATCAGCGGTGATTCCCAGCCCGATGGTCGATGTGGACGAATTGTCCAATCCAAACTTGAAACTAGGAGTGGTTGGACCGCTCCAGGTTGTTGTTCGCTTCGGAGGCACGAAGCCACTCGAATCCGTATCCGAGGAGTGTCTTCTGTCCAGAGAGCCACGACCGGAGCCTACCACACCCAGGTCAATTTCATGGGCACCGTCTTCAAGAACGCGCTCGTATGAATGTGAGCTGCCGCCGAAGAATGGTAATTTGCCAGGGAAGGTTCTCCGCTTCCTGGGGTAGCTCGGATGAGGCCCACCTCCGCGCTTGAAGAGATTTTTGAACATGTGGTAACCTCTCAGTCGACGACTCCGGCCGCAGAGGAAGAATGCAGCCATTGCAATAATAACCAGGAAAAGTAGGAATCCCGGAACCCTGCGCGAAGAATCACCATCAAAGAGCGCATCGTGCCAATTCGCAACGTGAAGCGACTCATTGCTGGGAAATAACTCGACGCTAGGATATTGGAAGTCATTGGGGACACCTGCAACATTGCTGCCAAAGCCAACCGGGAGTGTCTCTTGAGCTTCTTGGACTTCCACTGGAACCTCAGAGCATGCATAAAGCACCATTTTACCCAGTGTCCAGCTAACTTCAGTGGAGTGAATCTTGTGAACCGCTTGAAAAGGATCAAGGAATCCTTTCTCCTTGCCATGGGAGAGAACTTCCTTGGTTCCGTTGTGACCTGAACCAGTAGTATCCTCGAGACCCACGCGAGGGATACCGATGCCGTTGTGCAGCATATTGATGATCCATGAAGCCTTGAAGCAGACCTCGGAAGCCGATTCCCGATCGACCTTCTTTCCCCACGACTGTTTTTCTATATTCTGATCGATGGCTTCCCAATCTTGTGAACAGAACTGTTGTACCCGCTGTTGATAAGTGTTGAAATCGTACGCTTTGTCCTTGTGTCCCATTTCAAAGATCTCATGCGTCGTATGCCAGTACTCGCTGATACCGATGAAATGATTCACATCAAAGTCAATAGCAGGGACATGTACTCCGTGAAGAAGGCAAGGTTCATCCGAACAGGGCGCATCCTTGTCCAAAAGCGGGTATGTTTGTCGCAAGCATTCGTCGAATCGCCCAGTTCCCAGCAGAGATAACTCTGAGGTGTCGTCGGTCCGCAGAGGTTTGCCGTTGATTGTGGTTCGAAGCCCATTGGGGAGACACGGGTCGGGAAGTTCCTTCGCGATTCCGGCTGCGGTTTGTAGGGCCTCCAAATAACGTCTCCGAGCTTCGTGCACGCCAAATTCAAGCCAAGATGTCACAAAAACCCGATGCTCCTGGGTGGAACCGTCAATGTTTCGCAGCCGAAGTAGAGTCAGGTCATTCGCGTGCTTCTCGGTCTCGGTTATATTTGGCGCAAAGGCAATCTGCGCGGATGCACCACCCATATCCAAGAACCCATAAGTATGATGGCCCTTGCCATGATCATGTCCTTTCGGTTCATCGAAGCTGCCCAGCAAATAATTGGTTGCGATCCATCCGTAGAGGGCCTCTGTCACCCCTGGGATGACCTGAATGTGCACACCGCAATCAGGAAGCAGAAAATCATAGTTCTTGCTGGCGTAGGAGCAGATCTGTTGTAAAAGAAGCTCGCGATCACGATTGGGTAAGAGTCGCATCCCAGCAGTGGCTAGTAAAAAGATCGGAGTATCCTTTATCTGATCGGCGGGGACGATCTTGCGCGCATGATCGAAAAGTTCCGCAAGATGATCGGGGCCTACTGCCTCGGGTCTGTCGGCGAACGATGACACGCCTATGACAATGTGATTGTCAGCGAGACGGATTCCGAAGGGAAATTGCAGACATGTACTCTGATATAACCTACCAGGGTGTATCTTTTTCGTCCATTCCGATTTTGTTTTGAGCTCCGGTAATGTTTTCAACTCATCACTTTTAGCGTGCTTGCGAGCAATAGCGGGATCCAACCACCGATAGACGTGCACGCGAGTCCCCTGTCTCAGTTGTTAGCAGGGAAGCAAATCCTTTCACAGTTAAGACGCTTACAGATGATCCCGCATCCAGGACGATGCCATAATGCCCTAATGCGACACGATGGTCAGCTGCCGCTTCAACAGCGAGGAACAAAGTAGCTGAAAAGAGGAGTGGTGGCATACATTTGCCCATTGGTAACGTGGAGGAAAAGCCGATAATTATGATTATATGTCAAGCATTGCCGCCAGATTGGCGACCTTAAAAAGCGAACGTTTGAGAAGCGACAACACTCAGTTGTGAACAGGCGTCGAAGTGAAGCAATGCGACAGCATGCAACCGTAAGCTACACCGGGGGAAAGCGATGGACGACGGAGAAGGCGGGGAAACCGGGGGAGAAGAAACCAAGGCTTAGATGGATCAAACGAATGGCCTTGCTTAAGCAAGATATAAAAAAACAGTACAAGAGGAGAAGACGACGACGAGGCCTAGAAGGAAGACGACAATGATGCGTACAGGGTCTATGTGGAGGGGGAGAGGGAAAAAAAGGGCCAGAAGAAAGTTACGGGGTAACGATAAGACGGGAACGGATGGCGACAGAAACGCGACCACTCCCGTCGCCGATCGCCAGCGGGACCGTACACCAGAATACCACTAGTCTTTATTAGAAGAGGCCTGGAACCATCTGGATATCAGGATTTCATGATAGTGACAGTGGTCATAGATTGCACTCATCGCAACCCGGATATAAATTCCATAATCTTCGAGATATAATTGACTGGATACAATGGCATAAGGAACAATTCTCAATTGGACCCTGTACTAGTCTTTTCGAGAATACGAAAATCCCAAAGGGCATACGTAGTCCAGGCCCAGCCTCAGACGTTCATGTTCCCATCTTCCACCCTCCTTTACAATCAAAACACTGAAAATAGCCCCGAAAAGTGCGCTAAAGAGCACTAAACTTACGCACTCCGGCCGGATTGACGTAAGCTCCCCCCACTTTGCTGAGTTTGTCCGTCGCGTCATTGGCGGAACCTGACAACTTTATCTCCTGCAGTGAGACTGGCTGATAGCCTGATAGTCGATCCTGAGACGTCAAGTGTCATCCATCCACGGTTAGGATTCATCTATGCTATACAGAGTACGTTTTCTGGAAGACTCATGAATATGATTATTGGATTCAAGGTGGCCTTGCAAAGATTGCCCCGTCTGAGTTATAGCGAGTTATTCAAGGCATCCGCTTCCAGTCATGAATCCCTGCTGATGGCAGTGAGCACGGCGTAGTCCTCTGTTCAGGAACATGGTAAACTCCGAATTGAGTCTACCTAGTCTACTCCGTACGTGCTAGATGGGATGCATTCCTCTCCACTCATTCCTGTGTGAGCCTGTAATCCCAAGGATAGCCCACACGGCAACACCCTTTACCAACTCCACTAATAGGGTCATGTCAAACTTCCAAACCCTCGACCTTAATGGACTCCACCTAAGCTAATAAAGCGAAAATCTCATTGTAAGAAACAAATTATCTGACCTACATTGCTTTCCCCGCGTGAGTTTCATCCTTCGAAACTGATGACTGTTTCGAAACCCCGATAATGGTTGGGGTTGTCACAGTAATGGAGTTGTCCACTAAGCTCCAGTCTCCAATCTGTTCTTCAAAGAGCTGAGCCTGGTCAAGTCCAATCATCTCGGATTCCTCATCGACTCGTAGGTTCATCCCCGGGATGAATTTGAGAATGTATAGCAAGACGCAGGAGACCACGAACGAGTAACCCGAGATGGCGCAGATTTCAGCCAGTTGGTAGCCAACCTGGATTCCATTTCCGTCAATCGCTCCACTTGAAAAGGTGAAACCATCAAGGGACGAGATATTCTCAGTTGCGAATAGACCCGTCAGGAACGCGCCGACGATGCCACCCACACCATGGAGCTTGAATACATCCATGCCCTCGTCAATATTCAGCCAGTCATTGATATTCTGCAGGAGCGAGCACACAATGCTGGTGATGAACCCAATACAAGCTGCTAGCCAAACGGGCACGTATCCGGCAGCCGGGGTGATGCCCACCAGACCGGCAATGGCTCCTTCACAGGCTCCAACTACGGAGAATTTTCGCTTGCGTTTGATGTAATCAACCATAGCCCATCCTAAGATGCCTGTGCTCGCTGCCGTATTAGTGTTGAAGATAACCACCATAGAACGCACACTAGCATTGAGAGTTGAGCCGCCCTGTCATTGGTTAGCGGCGCCCCCTTCAAGGCAGACAATTGTTGATAATGACCGTACATTGAATCCCAGCCACCCAAAGCAGATCAGAACGGTTCCGATGAAGACCAAAGTCGTGTTATGAGGTTTGCGCAACGAAACCATGCCATGATCCTTTCGCTTTCCCAGCACCATTGCGTAAGCCAGAGCTGCCCAGCCGGAAGCAATGTGAACAGGGCCACCACCGGCGAAATCCAAAGCTGGAAGATTATAAAGCCAGCCGTGGCTGCTCCATGTCCATCGCGCCACCGGGCAGTAGACGAGTGTGGCCCAGAAGAAGCTGAATATCAACGATGGCAGGATATTTCCACGTTCGAAAGCCCCACCGACGACAATCATCACCTGCCCTAATCAGCGTACGGGTCTCATCTGTCGCAAGTGTGCAGAGGCTCTCACCGTGCAGGCGCAGAAAAGCAGCTGATACAGACAAAACACAATTTCAGGAAGCACTGCAGAACCCGGGGACGGCGCAACAAGGACATCCATCATTCCAAAGTTCTTGAGAGTGCCAATGAACGGACCGCCGTCCCTGGAGTAAGTAAGAGAATAACCCCAGAACATCCATTGAAACGTCGTCCTATTCATGCTCAGTATCATCCAAGTAGTATGGTCTCAGAGAACGTACACTGCGAGGATCATCCAGGACTGGAAAAGCAGAGCCAAGGCAGATTTCCTGCGTGCTAACCCACTATAAAGCAGACCGATTCCAGGCAATATAAGCCAGACAACGAAGCTGCAGGTCATGATATAGACGTAGTGATATTCGAGTCCGGCATACTGCGCATTCACGTCGACTTTGGTCGGATCACCACCTTCGGGTGTCGAGGCATTGTAGATCGGCTATCGTCCGTGAGCCGTCGTCAGTCATATTTCAATTCACAGCGCAAAACAGCTTCATGAAGATTTGTACATTAACATACCTGACTCATACTGCGGGGTGTTCGTCGCGCAGCTACGCTTTCGACTCCCTCTTTCGGCTCGCAATCGAATAGCTATACGGATATTCGTAGCGATTAGGGGCCCTTCAAAAAGGCTCTGCCACATTTGTCTATTCTTGTTTCTCGAACTCTTCGTTCGCGACCACCGAAGCAGGCTCCATCATGGCAAATGATACGCACAGAGCAAATCATGAAATTCATCGGGAACAACTTACTCACAACAGCACAAGAACGACGCTTATCTATTCGCGCCAAGATCTAGGAAGCCAACTTAAGCTCCATAATCACGATAACACAGCATGAGTAACTGGATAGCAGTGGTTCTGGTCGTTCTTTTGTTGCTGTTGCCAAGTTGCAGGGAGGCCAAACTCTCAAAGAATGCTGATAAGGTGCAAGGCTGCAGCTGATGCTCTTATTAACCCCGGATCTTTCATCTATCTAGGGTTTAGAGCTGTATCAGCCTGCTTGTAACGGGAAATGCAATGCGTGAGGGCCGATGGCGATCATTGGTGGTAGATAACCGAAGTCTATCAGGGTTGCAATCCGATAGGAAATGTCGATTGGGGCTTTGCACCGATTTATATTACAGGCCGGACTTGACCTGATATACATTAACAATAAATCTGCATATCAGTAGCAGAAAGATGTAGCCGCCCAATGTAGTGTAACTGCACCATGAAGCCCAACTCTGCAGAAAGCGTGGTCTTCCATGGAATGAGATACATTTAAAATGTATATGTACACAATTAGTTACAATGTAGAGTGTATGCATACAGTGAGAAAATATGGGAAATTGGAGGCAAAATGGGTACAACAACCCTATGCTGTTCGGAGGGGTATTGGCAAGAAAGGGAAACCGTTCAAGAAAACGTCAATGGGCAAATATCAAAAAAGATATAACGATTCATAAGCCATCAGGCCCCGTTAGAGTTTCGACGGCGTAATGACGTTTCTACGCATCGTTCGTGTCGAAACATCAACGTTATTCGTCGGGTCAGGGCTTGCTGCACTCTCAAATAATTTGCGGCCGACAGTATCGGTCATTATAAGAACACGCGATGACACCGTAGCTCCGTCCCGACGGTTTTTGCTATATGAGTGTCAGTAGAAACGAAAGAAACTGCAGGAGTATGGGGAAGTTAGTCGTCACTTACCCTTCACGTCTTGACTGAGCGATCAACTCGGTGAAATCCCATAGACGGCCGCGGGGCAAGAGTTTGCCTGTTGCTGGGTCGCGCTCTGGGGTCCATTCGGGGCAAGCTTGATTGTAGGACCTGTGCGAGACTCTTTGCTCTTCGCGACAAGAATGATTCCTTCTTCAGCAAAACGTTGGTAAGAATTCTTGAGCGTTTCCTTGTTCACAGCCTCAAAGTAAGAGAGATCTCCCTGGTGGTACAGGGTTTTGCCAAGCTACAGAGGGTATTAGATACCATCATGGACGAAGCGGTCTTAGAAAAACACTTACGATCTGCGCACTGTCTTGCGCTTTCTTTTGGTCAATCCAAACGTCCTTTGGCCCATCCAGAGGCGGGGTCAGCCCCATGAGGGACACTGCGCCAAGCCAGGCCGCCTCAATGAAAGGCCAAATAAGGAAACAATAGAAGTCGTAGTTCTCTCTTCCGCGCTGACGCTCAGCCTCACTAAGTTCAACAAAGAGTGGCTTCCCGGAGGAATCTCTGGAGACCGTAATGACTTCGTCCTTCTCCAGTCCTCGAAGTGTTTTCTCGAGATTAGTCGTCAAACCCTCAGGAGGGAAAATGAATTCACCACGAAACAGCTGCAGCGAGTCAGTACCTTTGTGTCCGTTGTAAACACGGTAGGCATACCTGTGATAGGAATGAGACCTGTCTCAGAAGATCTTCGAACGAAATGCGTTGGTGTGCAGGACCACCGCCCTGTTTGACCCTTGTGTACATAGCCGCAGAGACAAGTGCTTCCGTTATGAACAAATGGATTGTCATGTTGCGGTAGAATGAGAGCTGGAAGCGGTCTATAGCATAAAAGGTAGGCTCGGCTAAACCGGTTACCTCGCCCACGAGCTTGGGGCCCAGGACTTCCAGAGCACGATCTACGACGAGTTCAGTGGGAGATCGATAGAAATGAGCAACACGCCCTCCTTTCGCTCGGACCCGCTCGCAGAGCCATTCGACACGGCGTACCAGCTCTCCCTTGCCAACACCACGACCACGGAGAGTCAATAAAACGGTACCAACAAGAGCAGTTGGCATCATCACGGACACATTGTTAATATCAGAGAGAACTCGGTACCCCAGCGTTCTCAAAATGCGTCCTCTTTCTGTGTAGCTCAGCTTCTGACCAGACTTTGCGTCGATCTGGTTGGGCAGCCGACTCAGTTGCTGCGTGATGAACTCTCGCAAACTCCATGGCTCATGGAACCGAACATCGACCCGCCCCAACTTCAATGACAGAACAGAAGACGACGAAAGCAGGTCAGCCAAATTTTCTTTCCGCTTCGGCTGGCCAAGTAGCTCGCTAATGTAGGACCTATTTAATGCGTCAGAAAAGTGTGATAGGGAACCAATGTTCTGGGGTACCATACTCGGTCTCAATGACCTTGTCATACTGCGTGCTTACGGGACAAATAATGGTGTCTTCAACCCGTCCTGATAGGAGGCTGTCCACAATGAAATTCAGGATACCGAATTTTGGTGACAAGAGCTTGCCCGTCCGTGACCGTCCCCCTTCAATGAAGCACTCGAAATTAAACCCTTTCTGCAAAAGTGTATCGATGTATGCCTGAACAACGGTATGATACAGTGGGTCATTCCCAAAACTTCTCCTGATCCACATAGCGCCTGAAATGGTTAGCTGCGATGATAGGAAATCGGCGTGATGATGGACTGTACCTGCGTGTTGTAGAAAAGGGCCCAGTAAAGGAATGTTGAGATTGTCACCGGCCACGACGATCGGCAAGCCAATTCCCAGACGATAGCAAATAAGCTGCAGTGATACGTAGTCTACATGAGACTTGTGGCATGGCAAAAAGACGATAGATTGCTTCTTTTTTGCCGCTTCCTGGGCGACCGATCGCAAGCGCAGAACTTCCTCGCTGGATACGTGGATTCCTGGAACAATAAGGTCAACAATCTGCAGTCATCACACAGGAAAACAGTTTTAGAGGCACCCTCACCCTGATGGTAGGCTCGTGTGAGAAGTTGGGTGCAAAGATAATATGCCCCTCGGATGAATGTCTTACTCTCCATCTTGCAGATCATATTATCCATCATTGTATCAACAACCTCCTTCAAATTGCTCTCAATCTCAGCCCGGCGCTGCTTTTTCCTTTTCGATACAGGGTCCTGGCCTATCTGTAGGAGTCCTTCCTTTTCCTCTACCGCAAGGCGCATCTCTGCTAACTCCTTGACCTTCGCTTGGAGAATTGGACTGGCAAGGATGCTCGACTTGATCCGTTCAGAGAACCCCGGGTAAAATATAGGTTGTCCGATCACATCGTTGTATGCGCGCCATCCTGTTCCCGACATGTAGAGGCTAACTTCTCGCAAGAAGTCAAAAGGATTCTCACGAAAGCGCGCCATATGAGAAACGAGGTTGCGCTCCGTAATTGGGCCATCCTGAGGTCCCCCAGTGTATCCGCTTGGATGAATTGTTACCTTATCACCAACAATCTCCAGGTCGGGGCCTCCATGGGCGCCTTTTCCACCGGCATCCTCAATCGGAGCTAAAGGCGATTGTTGCGGGGAAGGGGAAGTAAAGTGAGTGTTATCGAAGACGCGAAACGCCGGTCCAAATCGCATCTAATCGGGAACGAGAGGACGCAGGAGGTCAGATAAGTCGTCGTCCGTCAGTTGATTGACAACAAGCATCCAGAGCCATGACCAAGCCTGGATAGTTATATCCCTGCCAGCTCTCCGTCTTCCCAACAAAAGCCGCAGATCTTCCGCTGGACTCTCAGACTCTTGGGTTACTTTCCCCAGAATACCTCGGATATTAGTCATGTGATATATGTCATGCCATTATTACCTTCCGGTAAGGTACGGAGTACGCTGTACGGGTCCGCAATACACAACACTAAGCCCGATAGGGTAAGCGACAGGGAAAAAAGAGCTAATAAGGCTCCAAAGGATGAGGTCAACGCAGCAGCCACCAGCACGACCATCGAACACAGCAGGCATTCAAGCAATCAGAGAGCATGACTGTGCTTGTCAATGGCCTCATCCCACTTTGGAAGCTTCGTTATATGAACGTCAGGCTGTTTAGTGGTGCCTGAGCCGTCGTTGCTGCTCCACAGCGGGATTCGCCCTACTGCACAACCCTGGAGTCCTTGATCCACTGACCATCATAAATACGGCGCAGCCATGTCGCGTTGGCTGAGAGCTTTTTCGAGTATGACTCCCTTGTCTCTGTGACCGGAGAAACGTGGTGCACTTTCTGACTTCTGCCTGTCTTTGATAGCTACAACGTCGTTGTTCAATTCCACAATGGCTTCTCGCCAGCACTCGTTCGAGGTGTTCCGCGATGTAGCCCCCTCCGAAAGATGCGCCGACAACTGCTGCTGTCGAACAGGACTGTAGGCCTCGTTCCCACAATGGGAGCTCTGCACGAAGGTCATCTCTCGTTGATGCGACAGGCAGCGGCGGATAACACCGACGTCTTTGTCAGTATCTACGTTAACCCAACTCAATTCGGAGTCAATGAAGATCTAGCGAGCTACCCTCGTACGTGGGACAGTGACGTGGCGAAAATTGAACAATTGAACGAAGAATTGTCTCGCCAGGGTGAGAAATATGGCCGTGTCACGGCTATCCTAGCGCCTACGTCTAAGGTCATGTATCCTACATTGCCGCCATCATCCGAGGTAGACGGTGATGGTTCGTTTGTCACAATCACACCCATTTCAAAGAAGCTCGAAGGTGCTTCCCGTCCCGTCTTCTTTCGCGGAGTTGCCACAGTTTGCATGAAGCTCTTCAATATTGTCTGCGCCGACCGCGCATACTTTGGGCAGAAAGACGTTCAACAAACAGTTGTGATCAAGCGGATGGTGAAAGACTTCCATATCCCGACGGAGATCAAAATTGGTGCTACAGTTCGCGAAAGTGATGGACTAGCAATGAGTTCGAGAAATGTTTACCTGGGTTCCAGACGACGTGCCGTTGGTCTTGTTCTCTTCAACGCCTTGAAAGCAGCTGAAGACGCATACCTGTCTGGCAAAAACAACCGAAACGAGATTTTGGATGCCGCCAATCGCATGACACGGAAGGTGCTCGGCGAGCAGCAGGCTTTGAAGCCCGCAGAAAGGGCGCTTTACGAGGTTGACTATATCTCCCTCGCGGATCCTGATACTTTGGATGAATTGGAGGTTGTTGATCGCTCGAGAGGTGCCATCTTGAGTGGTGCAATCAAAATGGCTCCTCTAGAGGCGTCAAATCCCGGTGAAGATTGTGGACTTGGTGATGGGAAGGTACCTGTACGGCTGATTGACAATCTGATCTTGACACCCCGGGTTTGACCGTTCACCAACATCCATCGAGTCATACCTTTGATGCGACCATATTGGGTGCCCTTCTTACATCACTTATCGGGGGTTGGAATAGTGTTTGCATATGCCCCGGCGGCAGGGGCAGGTCTTGTATTACGCAAAAATTTAGCACATATTCAGCCAAAGAAACGTTTGCATCTGAAGCTCAAAAGGCTATTCCTATTGATCGCATATCCAGCCAAGCTAGACTGCTTAAGGACATCGCCCTCAATTACATGCACACAATCAGAAATCGGAAACTCCAGCCCATTATTTTACGAAATTAGACGCTGAGTATTCCGATCTACCTGCCATTATATAATCTATGTACAAGTAGACAGCAACGTGAGCATCATCGAACAAAACGTGGTGCCAAAACAGGAAACTAGGGCAGCCTGTGAGGGCTCGGGAGCAAATCGGCCCGAGAAAATTTCCCTGCGCAGTAAAGTCTTTTCCCGCATATCCAAAGCAAGAACGGCAATGACTGATAACAAACGGCCGTGCATTCCAGCCCAACAAATCTCCTCATGGCGGACGACGGTTTGCTCCTGAACTTCTCCCTCGGTGATAATAACATCATCCAGCCAGAAACGAAGCTCAAGGGCGGAACATGGCGGGACCGGCTCAGCGCAAAGAAAATCGCCAAGCACCATGCCAAAGGCCCCAGGCAAGCCGGCGACGAAGACAGTGCACCCAGAGCCCCGCGTAACCCCAATAGAATCGAAGTACCGTCGTCGCGGCCGACCAAGAGACAGAGGACAGATGGAGGCGATAGCGGGAAGCAACAGTCGCACGCGCATCCGCATTCCAACCAACCCCGCCAATTCATTTCGTCGTTGTTCTCGAAAAACCCGGAACCACAGAAAGCCGAAGAAGTGAAGGAAGAAGGGCACGTGGAGGACGCTAAACCGACGAACGCGCCGCTCATCGATGGACTAGATACATTTACGAATCTGGGGCTGTCGCCGAATCTGGCCGCGCATCTTCTTACGAAACTGGAGCTGAAGGCTCCGACGGCTATTCAGAAGGCGTCTATCTCACAGCTTCTGAAGGAAGAGGGCGATGCTTTTATCCAAGCGGAGACTGGATCTGGAAAGACGCTGGCGTATCTTCTTCCCTTGGTGCAGAGGATCATGGCTCTCTCGAAGCCTGGCGAGCAGACGGACGCAAAGGGCCAGCCTATCGTACACCGCGACAGCGGCTTGTTTGCTATCGTTTTGGCCCCTACTCGTGAGCTGTGCAAGCAGATCTCTGTTGTGCTGGAGAATTTGCTGCGCTGTGCGCATTGGATTGTGGCGGGGACTGTCATTGGTGGTGAGAAGAAGAAGTCAGAGAAGGCTAGACTACGGAAAGGGCTCAATATCCTTGTAGCTACGCCTGGACGACTGGCGGATCATCTGGATAATACGCAGGCATTGGATGTAAGCAATGTGCGATGGTTAGTGCTTGACGAAGGTGACCGATTGATGGAGCTGGGTTTTGAGGAGGAGATTCAGGGGATAGTGAAGAAACTCGATGCGCGGCAGCGTCCCAGTCGCATACCTGGGGTTCCTACGCGGAGAACGACAATTCTTTGTTCAGCTACGCTAAAAATGAGCGTACAGAAGCTTGGTGAAATCAGCTTGAAAGATGCAGTCCACATCAGAGCGGACCCAGAGGACGAGGATGAGAAAGCCAGGAGGAGCAAAGAGGAAGAATCCGCCTATCGCGTGCCCGCTCAGCTCAAACAATCGTACGCTGTCGTTGCGGCAAAGCTGCGCCTGGTCACGCTGACCGCTTTCTTCAAACGCACTTTTATGAGGAAGGGATCAGTCATGAAGGCTATCATTTTTGTCTCCTGTGCTGACTCAGTCGACTTCCACTTTGAAATATTTACACGGAAACAAGCGAAGAAGGATGGCGACGAGCCTAGCGGTACAGAGAAAGCAGAAGATAAACCTCCATCGTCGCCTCATGGTACCATAGCACCTGCCACAGCCTTTTCGAATCCGTCAAATCCGGTGACTTTGTTCCGACTCCACGGTTCCCTACCTCAGAACGTCCGAACTTCTACTCTTGGAGCGTTTACGAAGAATAAGGAAGCATCTGTCCTGATCTGTACTGATGTGGCCTCTCGTGGTTTGGATCTGCCAAATGTCGATCTGGTTGTGGAGTACGATCCAGCATTCAGCGCGGAAGACCACTTGCACAGAATTGGACGTACAGCTCGTGTAGGCCGTGATGGTCGGGCACTAATCTTCCTTCAGCCTGGATGCGAGGAGAATTATGTCGAAGTTCTCAAGAGGGGCTATCGCGACGGCGGAAAGGCGCTTACTCGCACGGATGCCAACGATATTCTCAAGCGCGGATTTGGCGGCAATGTGGAAAGCGGAAACAAGGACTGGGAGACGAAAGCGACGGATTGGCAGTGCGAGGTTGAACGGTGGGCGCTGGAGAACCCGGAATATCTCGAGATGGCTCGGAGAGCCTTCCAATCGCACATCCGTGCGTATGCCACCCACATCGCAGCCGAACGGAGCATGTTCAACATCAAAGAGCTCCACCTGGGCCATCTCGCCAAGGCATTTGCGCTGCGTGACCGTCCCAGTAAAATCAATGTACCCGGTTTACGACAAGGAAAGGAGGAGACGAAGAAGGACTTCAAGTCTGAGAGGAATTCAGCCGCAGGAAAGAAGAGGAAGGCTGGTGGTGCAGATCTTGCTGATGATATACCGTCTGCCAACAACACGGCGACGGCGGCCCAGAAGATGAGGGCTAAGATGAAAGAACACATGGCTGGTGCAAACGAGTTCAACCTTGCCTAGTCTGTGCTTCGGCTGTATATAGAAGAGCGGTGACTCATTTCAGTAGATATCCCATAATGAAATCTTACCATCTTTTGACCCAGCAGCCAACCAGTGGGTGGTTTGCACCTTTTTGTATCTCTGATGCTGCATAGCTGCGAGGGTATAGGCATTCTCCCCTCGTGTTGTGACCTGTTGATGGCTGGCGTGCGAATCGTTTTCGACTCCTTCGGCGCTTGAGTCCTCCGTCGGCGAAAAATCTGATTTCGCTACAGTAGGGACCTCCGCGAACCCAATCGTATAACATCCCTCTTTGTGCCATTTCAACACTGCGAGTTCCTTCATGGTCTTGCACGAGTACACTCGAATTCTACTATCCCAACCCGCCGTCGCAAAGATCTTTCCATCAGATCTGATGCGGATACCCTGCTGGCCGGCATGTTTTGTATTAACTGTCTTCAAAACTGCCTCCTCCGGTCGATTGGTCGATGGGTGACTACGCTCACCCAAGCGCGGAATAGGATGCTTCACCAGCAACGCGTCAGCAGACGAGGAAAGGAAATAATTCCCCTGAGGGAAGACGTCAAGAGACAAGACCGGTTGGCTATGAGGTCGACAGGCATAGAGCTTCTCCCACTTCCAGGAAGCGGTAGTCCCCTGTAAGATATCTTGTTCTTTAACAAGCCCACGGCGGGCAAAAAGCATGACATGCCCGTCTTCATACGCCGATGCAACATATAGATCCCCAGGCAGTCCCGTGAACAAATGAGCAGCCATGACCATTCCGGTATCCGTAGTCGTATCCGCAGGAATGGTACACACTCGCCTCTCGAGCGGAAGATGGAACAGATCAATAGCGCCTGAGTTCAGGGCGTTAGGAACGGCTATCAGCGCGGGCGACCGCGGCGCCTCCTGCGGCGTAGCATCTGCGGATTCTTCCGTCGCATTGGCACCTCGACTGTTCTCCGCACACAAGCTCTCTCTTAGAAAAAGCAGCGAGAATGCACAGAAGTTCAGCGCGTTCACAGGAAGAGAATGCATGAGCCAGGGCTGGCTGGCGGTGTTTGCCTGAGGTCCCTCGCCGATATCGACGGGCAGAGTTTTCTGAAGGACTTCTTCGTCCTGGCGGCGGAATCTCCACACCCGCAGTTTATGGTCTCTTCCGTGTCTGAGCAATCTAGTTAGCAATTGTCTGATACCGGAAGTAAGCGCAAGCATACGTATATACGTCTGTTTCTGCTCTCGCAGCGGAAGTAAAACCCTTGACTTCAAGAATTGCCCCTTCGTGCGCTTTCCATGCCGCCACTGGACGTTTCATCACCAAGTCCCAGACAATTACCCATCCATCCGCGTCGGCTGAGATTAGCCGCAAATTCTGGTTGAACAGATGCAGCGCATGGATTGGGGCTGCATGTCCGCGAAGGATATAGATAGGTGTTGCTTGAGAGCGGGCCACCTGGCTAGCGAACTCGCTAGGCTCGCTCATTTGTTCGTTGGAATGGACAGAAGTATGTATCAAGTCAAATGATTCGGGCCAAGATCTTCGTGAATTTGATGCTCTCTATCCTTACTGCACGCTTGCGTTGATGGAGAAAGAAACAGAGATGCGCAGTTCAACGGAAGAGCCAAGTCTTGGCACTCTCTCATCATCCACACAACGCTCAGAGGGAACGGAGAAGACTGCAGTGGCAGGCATTACGAATGATTAGGAGGACCATTGAGAAGAAGATTAGCTAGATAAAGTCTGTATTATGAAAGGGCAATTGTCGAATGCTCTCATCAATGAAGAGGAAGAGTTAGGAAAGCATTTTGTTTATCTCGTCTATACAGGGCATATTGAAGAACATGAAGCCGCAAATATACACCTCCAGAACGCTAGTTGTACAACAAGCAAAATATATACATCATGACATCGACCACATCTTGAGAAGACCATTAATTGTACCAGCACGGAGAAAAGCACATCAAAGTCAGAAATCGTGGAGAAATCCTTGTGGTATCAACGTGAGAAACGCCCAGTGCCTGAATCGAGATAAACCTCCAGAAAGAAAAACCAAAACTCCGTCCGGTCAATCGACGTATCTAAATCAGAACAGATCGTACGAGAAATCATGTATAGGATGATGAGGCGCAACATAGTATTCCTGGTAAGGGTGATTTTCCATTGAGAAATCGGCATAAGCCATAATCGGATTGATGGCACCGGGTGGACATCGTAAGTCGGCCGTATCGGGTGCATGCAAAGGGTTGTGACCATCAACTAGTGAGATGGTCTCGGTGGAAACAGATGAAACTTCTTGCTGATGAGGAATTTGCCAACCCCAAGCTTGCTGGAGGTCATTCCGGATATGATCAGCGCGCCGGCCGGTCTCCTCGACGATCCTGTCCAGTATCTTGATCACTTCTTCTTGTGCCTCCTTTGTCACCAAACACTCCGCCGCAACAGCTAGAAACTGGATGGACAAGCCAGCAAGGCCACTGCTCATAGTCAGTCAAGAGTAGTTCTCAATTACTCGGGATGAGTCCATACCGATCTTTGACGTGCGCCACAATGCCACAGATATCATGCGCATGAAGCTGCTGCATGTGCTCCATTTCAGGGCTGAAGTCAGATTGCGAGAGACGAAGTCTGGCGAGCATCAACCGTGACACATGGTAAAATAATCGAGCGACTATAGCGGATCGCTTGATCAACCTTTTGAAAACGAGTTAGTGAATATGCCCTGTAGAGCAATAAAACCCAGTAAACCTACCAGATCTCAGGAAATTGTGATTTGGACCTGGTTTGCCACGGATGAAGATAGCCGACAGGCATCATGGATCGTGGTGCAGCTTTCGCCCACTGATCACACCAATCGTTGTATGTATTCCACTCCTCCTGGAAGTTATTTGGCGAACTATTCGAGGCCTGAGAATGAGATACAGAGGACCGGAAATTTGCGACTTTGGCACAGATATAAACCATACGATGAGTCCACGTTTCTTCGTTGCCCGCGATGTTGGGCTCCGCTGGGTCCATAGTCATCTTTACACCCCAGGTATCAGGATCCCAGGCCAAGGCCCAATTGTAGCGCATACAAATGAGCAGCTCCATGCCAACATTGAGCCAGAAGCAGGCGCCGCCCAAGCCTGGGGATCTTGCATCCCAGTGACATTCCTTAATGAGTGCTCTTGCCCCTGCAATATGGTTCATGTCTTGAATCGAGCGCGAGCTCATTAATTCGAACACATTGAGAACGACAGCGGTTGTAGCACACAATGCAGAGTCCCGATCCGGATCTTGCAAGGAGTGGAGTAGGTCCCGGGAAGCTATGTCATGAAAGTACGTCGCCTTCTCTTCGCCGTACGCAGGATTGACCAGGTACAGATGTCGAGCGCCGCATGCCATAAACGCTTTCAGAAGCATCGGCTCCTCCAATGCGTGAAATGGCAGTATTTCGGTGAACTGGTCAAGTCAGACGCAAGAAAGAGATGATTCACAATAGGAGTCCTTACATGCTTGACTGCATCCATAGAATCCATCCATAGCCCCACCTCCTCGACGAAGACCCGCAACAACAAGATGTCTTCGGGGTCGTTGAGATATACACGGCCATTCGAGTCCTTTGCTCCAACCTTCGCTGACTTGAATGGGGCGTATGAAGCACTCTGATCAGGAAAGACTGAATAATCCGCCGAGAGCGCATGACCGTTGAAGTTACCGCTTTGGTCAGGCAATGAAACCTGAGTGATTCCAAAAAGCGAAGACATGCTGTCCATAGAAGACAGAGGTATTGGAGGGCTTATCAGAGAGGGATACTCTGACGGCAAAGCCAATTCTAAAGGAGGCTCCATTCCCGGAGGGGGATATCTCTCGGCTCCACCCACATACTCCGACGCGATAACTCTGGATTCATCCCGGAAAGTGACAGATGCACCAGGAGGATGCGGGATACAGTGTGGAGGCGCCACGGTCTGTGTATCGATAAAATTTAAGCGAACGCCACGTCTGCATATCCTCCCAGATTTGCGACAATTTTGACACCGGTGCGAAGTCTCGTCGCATTTCAGATGGCGTTCGCGACAGGTCAGACAGCCCGTACGGACACGCTTTGGTTTGCCGCTGACAATCCTTTTCCGTCTTTTGCTCAATACACGTGGTGTGCTTGCCGGTGAATTCGTCGATGTTGGCACCTCACTCTCCTCGAAAAGGCTGGTATCTGGCGCATCGTCTTGGGGCGCTTGACCGGACAGTGGTTCGGGGTCAGCCGTGTTTGAGTCAATGTTATCACTGTCCGCATTCCCCTCCCGAGAGCGTGGATCAATCGAAATGTTCCGCTTCGACTGTGGAAAGGCAGTGTTGCCGACAGAAGCCATGTCAAGTCGTGCTAAGTCGTTCGAGCACTTCCTTCACTGACCAGGAACCGTCCCCGAGCACACGAGAACGAGAATCAGAGACCTTATATATCACCTCCATAGGATCCATACCTGGACCATTGCGTTGTAGCCACTGGGTTGGAGTCTCCAACGTCGAGCAGTCGCGGAGTCTAATGCCGCAAAACTGTTAGCTTGTGATAATCACCATCGGAATCATGGCAGTCTAATCCTCCGGGATCTTGTCTTACAGAATACAGAGCAGAAAAATCACTGAGCAATTTGTGTAGAGCGAATCCGTACACAGTGCTGCTCCTGGACGAAGGTGACGAAGCGAAGATTTGCGGGGGAATGTGAGATTTGGTGACTAAACCATGGGGGCCACTTGCTTTACCCCAAGTTGATCCCGAAGGCTTATCTGATTCGGACTACCACGAACTACGAAGTTCTAAGCTACAGACTGGAATGAGTCTATCACTGAGATGCGATCATTCACCGTAGTTAATTGCCATTGATACTTTACGGGTTGAACAATTTATGCTCGAATGCAATCCATTTACCATTTTATATGGGCGCGTCATGCACATATTTCTTCCCCCATTGCGTCGGGACTTCCTGGGAAAGCCATATTTTGTATATAAAGAATAAGAGAATACTTACAAGTCTTTGAAAAGACCAAGCGAAGCTCTAACAGGCTCGCCGCTGACTAGGAGGAGGCCTTGCTCCCTAACCTAGGCAAGCGAATACGAATGTGCATCATGAACATGATCGCTCCCCAGATGGCTGCGGAAAAGAAGGTCACACGGAGAGCTGCAGCATATGCCTCAATAACTGGGTTACAATTAGTAGGGGTGTCTCACATGTGCTGTTGAAAACACTAACCTTGCTGCTGATGCATTGGATCCAGGTTAGCAATAGCTTGAACCGATTTGCGGACGAGAAGAATGACGCTTTCTTTGTCGGGACCGGTCACCAGTTCGTCGAGCTGATACACAAGTGTATTCTGGAATATCCAGCTGCTCGTCGCGACACCCATAACTGATCCCAGGTTCCTAAAAAGGCCCAGAGTTGTCGTAGCCACAGCCTGCTCTTCCTGGGCGCTTGTAGCCAGTACGGATACCATGAGTGTGGGAAAGGAGAAGCCCTGGCCGAGACTGGACAGAGAGACACAGATCATTGCGACTAAATCAGGAGTGTCTTTACCAACCAAAGCCGCAGCACAGCCTCCGATCAAGAGGAAGAGGCCGCCAATGAGCATTGTCGGCTTGAGACGCTTGGTCCAAGTGATCAAGAAACCGGTCGACACGCTAGAAACTGTGACAGCGAGAGTAGCAGCGACCAATTTGAGACCAGAATCGGTAGGACTTGCCAATTTTACCGCCTGGAAATACAGCGGAGCATTGAAAATCATAGTGTTGATCGAGATTGATCCGAAGAAATTTCCAAAAATGAGGCTGGCACGAGGTTGCTTTGACAGGAGTGATATTGGCATCACAGCCCGTTCAACGTTCCGTTCATATCGCACAAAGACCACGGCTAGAACAATTGATAAGGCTAGCGATGAGATAACGAGGGGGTGAGTCCATGCGAACACATTACCGCCTAGGTTGAGACCCATGATCAAAGCAGTCACTGTGACCACAAGTATGAAGGACCCTGTCAAGTCGATACTTCTGATCAATTGAGACACGCTCATCCGACCCACTTTTGCTCTCTTCAGGCCCAGGTCTGCTGGAGTTGTCCAAGCTGCGACAATGAAGTAAACGAAGATGAACGGCAGCTGCACAAAGAACGCACCTCTCCATCCCACATGATCACACAGGAAGCCACCAAAGGCAAGCCCAAGGCAGCCTCCAATTCCAAGGGCGAGATTGATATAGGACTGGTACAACCCTCGATACTCGATACGTACAAGGTCGCTAGACAAGATCATCCCCATAGAGAAAACACCACCAGCTCCAAGGCCACAGACAGCACGGGCAGCGATGAAACTTCCAATACTTTGCGCGGCTGCACACCATGCTGTGGTCACGAAGAAAACAGAAATGGCAAAGAGATAGACCGGCTTTCGGCCGAACGTGTCCGAGATGCGCCCAAAAAGTGGAAGGAAGGCAGTCGATGTCAGAAGAAAAGCGGTCGAGAGCCATGACGCAGAGTTCGAGGCATGAAAGTGCGACGTGATGACGGGGTGGCTAGAGGCCATTAAAGTCGAGTCAAAGAATCCGATCGCATAACCCAATAGAATCCCGGAGAAAATGAGCCAGAAGCGCATGGGTGATACGCCGATAAATCGGGAGGCATAATCATCTTTTTGACGCGCTGAGCAGTTTTCCGGGTCTGCGTAAGCGCCTTTATGCGCGATAGGGACAGGAGGAATATGCTCGAGGCTCGGTTCGATATCAAGACCCTGAGGTAACGAACTGACTCTGGTGAGGTTGAGAAGAGCTTCCTCATCTTCTGCTGGGGAAGCAGTCGATGTCGAGACCGCATCGTCGCTCTCGTCTAACGCCGAATAACTCCCGGCATTTGAGTACAAAAGTCGGTGTGGAGATTTTGTCTTGAGCAGAGGAGTGTTTTCATCAATGTCAAGGGGCTCTCGCTTTGGGGGCGATGGTGTTCCGCCCAGCCCTTGGGCGACGGTCATTTCTAGGAGAGTCTGTACAGAGAAATGGATGTCAAGAATAGTGAGTTCGGAACTTCGGAGGCAAAACGAGTAGAGAAGATCAAAGTTTTTCTGCCTTTGTTATAAGCCGACTGCCGAGTTCAAGAACCTTGATGGAAAAGTTGAGCATGGCACTGAGTCAAGATGCTGCAGGCCTCCAACAGTGAGAACTTGCAGTCTTATACCTGAGGTAGTCGATAAAGCATGGGTCTAGCAAGACACGCTAATGCACAGGTAAGGTAGTTTTGTGATATCTGTAAGCAGGCATTTGAAGTGACTCTTACGCCACAACGTGTTGAGATTACCTTACCTTACCCAGTTAACTACCCCTCCCCTGGGACTTTTATGTCTTTTTATTACGCTAATCCAATCAGAATGCCCCAACCTATACAATCAACTGTTGATCGATTTCCGATTGGTCCAAAATGAGTCATCCGACCATACAATTGCATCTGCATCTGCACCCGCCGCTAATTCCGGTAGTCTTCGCAGCAACTCAAGTCCAAATGGAACTATCTGGCTGTGCTTCTTGTTCAAGATGATCGCTGGGATGGCACTGGTCCGGGCGGATCTTGTCCCGATCTTAGGGCAGGCTAATGTCTATCCCCCTCTATGGATAGGCACGTACTCTCAATGTCAGCTTCAACTGTCTTTGAGCAAGATTGATAGACTCAATATCAATGAGCAAAGTCCAGACATGGATAACTCAATAATGCACAATTCATGACAAACATCGATACAATAGTTATGGGTACAAGCATTTTTCCCAGTCGAGAAGGCAGTGTCATTTGATAAGGGAGTGAGGGGAACCGATAAGAAATGCCATTGCGCCGCTTAAAGATCTGTCGTTTCATCATTCCAAGGTACATAGCCGTGCTTGATAGACCTGGAAAAGCGTATCTTTTTTGCATTTTTACATTTCTTAAAATCTATACAGCATTGAGCCGAGATTCCAGAGCATACTATTTTTAATTCGAATCGCCCCTTTCCTAGAACAACAATGCCTTCTCCGCTGCGAATCGCGGTCCTCGAATGCGACGCCCCTCCAGCCGATTCAAATGCAAGATACGGCGGATATCATGGCGTCTTTTCGCTGCTGCTCAAAGAAAGTGCGAGAGCCCTCGGGCAGCGAGAGAGACTAGACCCAGAGACTGGCCTCGATATTTCCCGCTGGGATGTCGTATATGCACAAGAGTACCCCAGATTAGAGGATGTCGACGCAATCCTCTTGACCGGATCTAGTAAGTAGCCACATCTTCATACACTTGGTTGTGATCCTTGGTTCTACGTCCACGAATGTCCCATTGTGCGACTGGACCATTTGAGTCTGTGTGTGTTTGTTTGTACCCTCTCTGACTCATCCTTGCAGAGTACAACTCCTTTGACGACGACCCCTGGATTCTGAAGTTGGTCGAATACACAAAACGGGCTATAGACGATCAGCGTGTAAAGATTCTGGGAGTCTGCTATGGGCATCAGATCATCGGACGTGCGCTCGGGTCCAAAGTCGGCCGAAGTGACGCAGGATGGGAGGTTGCAGTATGCGACGTGGATCTGTCAGAGGAGGGAAAGAAGTTGTTCGGAAAGGATAAGCTGGTAGGTCATTCTTGGTGAAAACCACGAGAGCGAATATACACAATATTGACAATTACAGCACATCCAACAAATGCATCGCGACATCGTATTCGACTACCCACCGAACGTCGTTCCACTTGGGTCTTCCCCTCGCTGCGCCATACAGGGGATGTATAGGCCCGGGCATTTTATCACTGTCCAGGGTCACCCGGAATTTAGAGAAGATATTGTGTCGGAGGTTGTCAAGTTACGGACGTCAACAGGCATCTTCTCCAAAGAACAAGGAGAGGATGCACTGAGTCGAGCAGGGAAGGATCATGATGGCGTTGCCATTGGCGTTGCTTTCCTGAAGTTCTTGCTTGGAGACATTCAATAGATCTGGTGGTGTGAGTAGCTGTACGCAAAGTTGAGCATGTCAAAGATATAGAATTTTTTTTTGATATTGGATCACTGCATACAGATCCGATGGTCTATTCCATTGCTTCATTTCTCACAGGATATGATCAAACATGCTCTGCATGGTCAGATCACCATGAAACGAAGCTCTGTTACCCCCAGACTTTTCACATAACCGTGACTACCCTTGATTCACCCACTAGCTCCAGGATCCTCACGCTCCAGAAATGTCGGATCCATATCTACCCTTCGCTCAAACTTCGCCCACCAATCCTGAAAGCTTTTCAAAGACACAACCTCCTGGCCCTTATTACTCGGATCGGACGACGCAAAGCTCGCCAGGAAGTTGAACGCATTCCCGATAATGCGCTGCGCCAGAACCTTCGTCGTAAGACCCTTCTGCTGCCGCTGCTCCGGCGACTGACGCACGAGATCCGTCGACGTCCCCGAGGATGCTGTCTCTGCCTCGAGCGCCGCAACCTGCGGCGCAACAGTCTGGACCGGCTCGATCGAAATACCCAGCGTTACCATACCGTTCACTGGCGCACCACCAGCGGCACCGCCGGTGCCTTCGTCCAGCATCTCATCCTGCTCTTCGGCTTCTGAGCGGCGGGGCGGTGTTGGTGAGGAGCCGCCTTGGACTTTGAAGATTGCGGAGGGTTTCTCGTTGGCTAACGCGCCGAGAAACCGGAACTGTGGGCCATTGGGTGAAGAGGTGGATTCGGGTAATTGGATGTAGATTGCTGCGGCGGTGTCTTGCGGAAGGACCGTGCCCGGCAAGAAGAACACGACGACTTCTGTGAAGGGAGGGTTGAGAGGGAATGTGAAGGCGAATTTGGTGGCCTGGCCATTGGGCTGTGCATCTACCGCAACGATATCTGTGAGGCAGGGCCGGCCGGGGACGATGACGGAGAACATGGCGGGGAGGCGGGGAGGGAACGGCGGTAGCGAACGAGTATTGGGTCAGGTTATGTATGATGCTGACGTATGAAAGGCATGTAGAAGGGTATCAGAAGTGATAGTAATTAATGGTACACAGCCGTGTCAAGCCACCGGCTCAAGGGTGATATGCGGCATTCTGATTGAGCTCTAAGCTCTGGGACCAGAGCTATTGAGAAATCCCTGGCGCATTCGATGATGGAACCTCCGAGAAAGACTGCGAGTGACGAAATGCCCTTATCGATAAGGGTTGTGGCTTAGCGTGCCGCATGTATGACAAGGCAGAGTAGATTAGATGCGCTCAGCCTAACTTCGGCAAGATTGTATATAACACTGGATATTTTCGTTATTGGCAAAGAGTGTATATAGTTGTCTGCTTTTATTTCATCATTATATACAAGCACAATGGGAAGGTCATATCTCGAATTGGTGAACGAATGCGACAAGTATTACACCTTTGCTCAGCCCCTCTTCAATTGTTCTAATTCTTGACAGATTCCCATACTACGAGGATAATCCAACCTTCTATGCAGCCCACTTGAAGAATTTCCACGCTTTCAAAGTAAGCGGGTGTGATGCTGTGCTCGGGTATATCCTCAATTCGGTGGTGGAAAAGTTCTACTGGCCGGGGGATTGCTGGTCGGTCGACTCTACAAGTCGAACAGTCACCCTCGTTACCCCTCCAAATGCGACAGCCGACCAGCGAAGCCAATTGGTCGCAAAGACTCTCCGTGAAGTAGTCAAGAGGGGCACCTTTGACATATTGAAAGGATGGCGCAATGAGCTCTACCCTGTCTACGGTCCAGGCGGGGAGTTCCTGTTGGAAATGGAACGGAGCGCGAGTCCGCTCTTCGGCATCGTCTCATATGGTATTCACTGCACTTGCTACGTTGAAGACGAAAACGGACTACGCATCTGGGTCCCGAGACGATCACGGACGAAGCAAACATACCCTGGAATGCTGGACAACTCCGTGGCGGGCGGAATGAGCACCAAAGAGAAGCCCTTTGAGTGTTTGGTCCGCGAGGCGATGGAAGAGGCGTCTCTTCCCGAGGTTGTGGTCAGGCAAAACGCCCGCTCCGTTGGATGTGTCACGTATGTCTATGTTCGTGGAGCGCGGGCTGGAGGCGAAACCGACCTGCTGCAGCCTGAGGTTGAATACGTCTACGATATCAAGCTGAGCGCTGACGTTACTCCGAAGCCCTGCGATTCAGAGGTCGAGGAGTTCAACCTATACACTATCGAGGAGACCAAGAAGGCACTGGCAAATGGTGAATTCAAGCCCAATTGCGCCGTTGTATTGATCGATTTCTTCATCAGACATGGGATCCTGACACCCGAAAACGAGCCCGATTACCTGGAGATTGTCGCAAGGATTCACCGCCGCCTTGAGTACCCAACAGTATCGCACGCCGCGAGGTAGGCTATAATGCTGCCGGAAGTTGCACGAGCTAGAGACGAACAGGTAGAGATGTTTGTGTCATGTTAAGTTCTTCTGTTTCATTTGATATACCCAATCATCCAATCAAACGCCGACGCTGCAACCCAAAATGAAGAATGCAAATACAACTTTTCTGCCAAGCTTAAAAGCGAAATTGCTCGCAAGGTTTTGGAGACACAAGTTGACGGAGAGGGTTCTTTCGTTTATTTCTTGAGGAGCAGATACACGTAATCAATGCGGAGAGGAGCCAGCTTCTTGTAGGGCCCTTCGAGGTAAAGCAACAGTCCGCCAAAGGAGACAAAAACAGCCCTGTATGCGCAAATCGTCAGTAAATGCGCGGTGCATTAAAGGTCGATCCCCCGGTCGAAATACAGGGCATGGGGCCGGAAATCGAGTCTTACATGTTACCCTGTGTCGCTGCCTCCTCGAACCGATAGACCTTGCCGTGGCAGACATAGTCATAGTCATTCGCCAAAGTCTGCTCACCGGCTCCTACTTCTCTCCAGCTGGCCTTCGCCCCTGTAGCCTCCTTGCCGTCCAGGGAAAGTGTCGAAGCAAGTGCCATAGAAACCGACTCGCCAACCGCGCAGGGGTACAGCTCACTGTTGATATCGAGAGTAAATGTGGTCATGGAATCGGAAGAGGTGCAGGTCAGACGAGAAACGCGATCATATTTCTGCGAATTGATCGCAGTGATCGTGAAGGTATCTTCGAAAAGGAGCGGATCCGACATGATTGCGACCGAGCGATCTGAACGAGACTCGACGAGAAACTGTTAGAAAGGCGTGTGTAAAGAGCGAATATATCGACGCAGCTCTGGTATTGACGGATAAAGAGAGGCCACAGGATCGTGTGGATGTCGATTGTCAACGTACTGGCCAAGCGGTCTTGAGATCGGAGAATTGAACGGCAGCTTTTTTTGCTCAACTTTTAGCGTACCGCCGCTTTAGTTTCCTTCCGAGAGCTGCCCCGCAACAAATTCTCAAGAGAGCTTCGAGCTCCCAAAAACCCACAACAACCATTGCAGAAAATGTCCTTTCGCAAGCGCAATATAGGCTTGTCCGGAGCCGTCGATCGCACGTCTATCGCCAATACTTCTGCGCAGGCGCCGCAAGCCACCACTACTACAGATTCGCATCCCGGTATCCGTCCCTCCCCCGACGATGGGCGACCAACTACTTCGACAGGCACACGATCGCTCGACAACCTTCTGGCGGGGCACGGAGGACTTCCTATTGGGAAAATACTCTTAATTGAAGAGAATGGGACTACAGATTTTGCGGGTGCACTGCTACGATATTATGCCGCTGAAGGTGTGGTGCAAGACCAAAAGGTTCACGTCATTGGGATGCCGGAACAATGGGGTAGAAGTCTCCCAGGCTTAATAGGTCCCGCAGACATGCTGGATGAGAAATCCGATAAGAAAAAGAGCGAGCGCATGAAGATTGCTTGGCGGTATGAGCGTTTGGGAGAATTCGGTGCTGGAGTCGCGGGGTCCCGAGGTATGCATCGTCAACGAATGCGCCTCAGCATCCAAATCTTACATGATGAAATTGTGCTGACAGAAGTAGCTCCTACTGTTTCAGGAGAACAGAGTCCAACAGTTGCTGATATGAACAAGCAAGAGGCGTTCTGTCACGCCTTTGATCTCACAAAGCGTCTCACCCACCCTTCCATATCGAACTTGACATATATACCCCTCACGCCGTCGAATGAACCCTTGTTCATCTCGATTTACAAACGTCTTCAGACAGCAATTGCTTCGAGTCACCCAAACACAGTACATCGTATCGTCATTCCATCCTTACTCAACCCTACGATATATCCATCCGAAGTAAGCCAGCCAGACCATGTTCTGCCCTTTCTCCATGCATTGAGGGCATTGATGAGTACCCAGGGTCACCGCATCACGGCAATGGTCACAGTTTCTTTGTCTCTCTTCCCGCGCTCGTCAGGACTGGTGCGATGGATGGAGATAATCAGCGACGGAGTCATTGAACTTTGTCCTTTCCCCCATTCGGCCGATGCCCTCGCAACATCTGGGGCTGCGACATCACAGGAGGAGCCACCACAAGGCATGCTCAAGACCCATAAGTTGCCAGTGCTTCACGAGCGTGGTGGCGGAAGTGATCAGAACGTAGGACAAGACTGGGCCTTCACCCTGAGCAGACGAAGATTTGAAATCAAGCCCTTCAGCCTACCACCTGCTGAAGGAGACAAAGAGGCACAAGATGCTGCGGGACCCGGCGGGATGCCGAAAAAAGCGGACCTTGAGTTCTGATTGCATGTCCACAGAGCTGGAAGATTACACTAGCAGATCTTGTTCACTACTCTTCATGGTCTGACGGCACCAACATGTTGTCCAACTCAATTTGTTCGGACATAGAGGAGCCAGTGTTGACCATAGTTCGAAGATAATGCCTGCCATAGGCATCGAGTCCAGGCCTTACGGAGACTCCTGGAAAATAGGAGCCAAGGCGACTCCGGCGAATCGCTGAGATACCCAGCCACCCTTATATAGTCAGCGCTGGGGTGATAAGCAACAACTGCAAAAGCAGTGCCTACCTAGAAATAGGAAGAAGGGCGCGAAGAAGACCAAGAAGAGCAGCATTAAGAAGTTCATCGTGGCAGTGCCTACTAGACCGTCGAATACCAATAAAAAATCCTTCCACTGGTAGTCACCAAAGAAATATAGTTTTTGGCCGTGTATATTGAGATCAACCAGATGCAAAGTAGATCTGAAGTCTAAGCTAGTCTCGATGTCTCCGGTCCGTTTGCGCTGCCGAAACAGTATACCCAAATAGGATTAGCTTCGTTTCTCGTAGGGTACATTTTTCTTCTTCAGCACCTCCACCCACTACTTTGCTCTCTTCTTTTTTCTCACTCGCAATCTGCAGCTTTGGGTGACATCTGTAGCTCTGGCTCTCGCAGCTCGATATCCAGAGCAGGTCACTCTTCTACTACCGAAATTCTTCTGATGGTAAGTGAAATGTCATTATTTCCTGGTTTTTCACGTATCCTCACATGATTATACAACTACTATAATCTGTCAATCCCCTGAAGCTCATTTATTTATCTCAAAAAAAATTCGAGCACACGTGATTGAGAAACGTATCGAGAATGATTTGTCTACCCTTGAACGCTCTATATTCTGCTTATCTCTCCTGGAGCTGGAGGCTAACGTCGACACCGTCGCAACAGTGATTGATTTAAGCAATTGTGCTATTGTTATCGTCAAGAATGGATACTCAACCTTCCCTCCCTATTCCGATCTCGTATATCTCGGGTAGTTACTATCTATTCTCAATTGATGCTGTCACGTATTTGAGACGCGAACATCACATCTGTGGTGTCTTGATCGGTACCCTGCCACAAATCCCGCAACAAAATGTCTTCCTGGGCTTGCCGCTGGAGCTGATGCCGGAAGAGGCCAGGCTTCTGGTGGAGAAAGGTGTAGCTTGCATTGTAGACGAGGTAAAATTCCAGAAGGATGGAATGAAATCTATCATGGAGGCAGACCGGCAGAGGTACTTGCAAGATATAGAAAACCAGGGTCTCCAAGCAATGCGCCTTCAGACTAGCCGAAAGGAGCAGAGAAGGGACGCAGTGTTAAAGAATTTAGATGAGAAGAAGGCAGCCAAGGAAAAGAGAGCTGCTTCAAAACAGGTCTCCGAAGACGGCGTGCAAGACATGCCGGGCTCTGAGTTTTTTCCGGGTGACAATAAACAAACGGATTCCACCCAGATATCACGACGAACCTCAATTGCAATCCAACCACAGACCGCCATGGGAATCACTCCCGCTACATCCGATGATATTCTGCCTTCTGATCTGCCTGCTAAGCAGCTACTGCCACTTCCGGAAGTGCCATCATCGTACCCCTTGTTTGCCCACCTACACTCGGAGGGCTATTATCTATCACCGGGTCTCCGATTCGGCTGCCAGTACCTCGCTTATCCTGGCGACCCTCTGCGATTCCATTCTCACTTTCTGGTCGTGTCCGCTGAATGGGATGAGGAGATTGATTTGATGGATATCATCGTCGGCGGGCGACTAGGGACCGGTGTCAAGAAGGGCTTCCTGTTAGGAGGAGCTGAGGAAAAGGATGAAGACTCGATCAATGAATCAGGCAGTAATGTGAGGACTTTCAGCATTGAATGGGCGGGAATGTGAAGCTGGATTGTTGGTGCTTTTACTGCACCCCACGTTTTAACTCACACTGGCGAGCAGGCCATACATATTGCGGTCCCAGCGGCACGCTCGTGCTACCCTCGTCAGGTGTCCACTCCGCGCTAGGGCTTCAGTTCTGGGTGCGAACTGACCCGGATCCTGTCACTTCGAAAGAGACAGATCAGCCTGCTGTGCTGCTCGATGAAATGGAAATCTGCATTATCAGGGCCAGCAGGCCATAACTGGGTTGGAATCACTAATCGGTAGCATGGATGTGAACCCAGAACATGGCAGACGGTGCTGACACCAAGTATGCGCCTTGCGCACATCCCTGTCGTCTACTGAGTCAAAAAGACAAGATAGGATGAAGAACAATCAGATCTCAAAGATATGGTCGGTCGACGAGGGGATTTGACAAATCATGCGAGTGTTATGAATTGAGATGCAATGCTATTCAGATGGGCCCTGCGAACATCGCAGTGGACGCACGATTCTTCGGGGATTGCATAGCTTTCGAGGAAAGGGAATTGTTGCCCCGGGTTCGCGCCGCAACAGTGTATATGTACTCCATTGATAGTCGAAGAGGAAAGACAGAGACCTGCAGTTCCGAATTCTCAGAACATACTATGTGCGGTATTCTCCGGGACATGAGCTCTCAAGCCCTGATCCCGCCCTGGCCATCTTTCGCAGCAGAAGTCGGTGATCAGATGCTCCTTTTCCCTAGATGGTGGTTTTACCAGCAGACGACTGCTTAGTAGCGTGTTCGGCGGCCCCTTTCGCCTGAAAGTCATGCGACCGGGTCATGGCTAGTAAAAGCCTACATCGTCAAATTTGACAGTGTGCTGTCGGGACCCGATGCTACTAGATGTATTCCACGTTTCGCCATTTGAATTTCTTGTTGGCCCGATCGACTGGGCGATTCTCAAACTGGCTGCCGTGAAGCTCAAATGTAAGTGCCTTCTTGGCCTTATCACCATCCGACATAGCGGTGTCTTCGTCATCTGCCGACGGTAAAGGGACAGAGAAGCGGAAGATGGTATGTTCTTTCGGAATAGCTTCACGGCGCAAATTAGCCCAAGGTTTACTTCTCCAGCCGCGTAATGGGATTTGCAAAAGCGAACTCACTTTTCACCTCATCCTTCTCCGTGACAACCATAAAGGTGAATTTCGTGTCCCTCGCCACGATTCCCTTCACACCCACCCGGCCCGCGCACCGACTCCGAACAACCTCAATTTCAGCACCATGAAAATCCGCAGTAACCAGCTTGCTCCCATGCGACTGTGGCGTGATAGGAACCTTTCGAACTCGTAGGTCCAGGATCTCTTGCATATAGCCAACCCATAATTTGTGAAGCTCCTTGAAGATGGAATATTTGCATTCCTCCTTGGGAAGATCGTAAAGGCCCGAGATGCGCTTTTCGCGCGCGGAGAGTGGCTTTGGTTTCTGCTTGCGCAAGAAGTATTCCTTTTTGCGGATACGGTGCAGGCGACGTCTCTCTCGGTTGTCCGCGGGTGTGGGGGAGGTCGGTCTGAGGTAGAGGGGTTTTTGTTTGACGCGCTCTGTGAAGAGCTGTTCTGCTGTGTCTGGTGAGTGGGCGCGCGCAAGAAGCTCGCGAGCTATGTGAGGCTTCGGTGTGGTCATTGTGCAGGATATAGCTCGTTCCGATGACCGGACCTGAGCTCAGAAGAGTGAATGAGGAATATGGGATGTGGTGAGGACGATGGAGAAGTATTTCAACTTGCCATCTGGAAGACCTGGCTATCACGTGATCTTATATGCATTGTAGATAGCGCTTCTTCTTCAACTCTGTAGACCTTACAACAACATCTTGTTGAGTTGGTCAGTCAATATTAGACTCGTCAGGTCTTTTTCAATGAGAGCACATAAATGTGGCATGTATGGATATTTGCCTAATGGCGGCATAGATGACTATTCCCATATTGCTCGACTACACTCATCTTCGAGTGGGCTCTCCAGATTCCGAAAAGCTCAAGGAAACGTTTCTCGGCTCTATGAACTTGCATTGAAGTTCAATCCTCATAACTGGAGGACTTTTGCTCCCGCATCTTCGATGCCAAGTGCATGGGATGCTTCAGCCGGCGATAGACTGCGCAACTCAGAGGCGGAATTCTATATTAATTTCGGAGAAGACGGTCACACTGACCATTCAGCTTCTGAAAAGTCCAAATCTCAAGCTCAATCACAATCACAATGCCAACTGTCTGTCGAGGTTGTGACCTCCGCACTCTTTTGGCCCTCGGTTGCAACTCTCTTCCCCGCATGGGGCCACAGGGCCCTCTGACTCGAGTGCTGATATAACGAATGAACGGGAGGTCGTTCTTCATTGAAATTCGCTCTCAAGAGCTTATAGCAAGCACCAGTGACTATCCTTGTTTTATACAAGTTCAACATGGTTGTCGATACGAACGATTTCCCCGGGCTGCCACCTTTCCCGAGTGACATACCAACCGCTCCCCTACTGCGTCTATCTCTCCAGAAGCTGCTTGCGCGTGACGCGAACGAGGTCAAGAAGCTGATGCAAGCATGTGAAGATCTAGGGTTTTTCTACCTCAACCTCCGAGGCTCCGAAGAGGGCCGTGACATCCTCAATGATGCGGACAAGCTGTTCCAAACAGGCGAGAACCTCTTGAATCTCAGTCTGGAGGAGAAACTACAATACGACTTTAGCAACCAGAACTCCTACCACGGCTATAAAGCACAGGGTGCAGCGGTCGTCGATCGTCAAGGGAATCTTGACCGGAATGAGTTTTACAATGTCTGTCCAATGCACATGGACGTCCTTCCCCGTCGAAGCTAACAAGTCGACCAGGTCTCGAAGAACGATATCCTAGGCATCAAACCACCACTGCCAGCCCCAGCAATCCTCCGTCAAGCTCGTCTAACTCTCGAATCATTCATCCGCACCTCCCACTCAATCGTCACGCTGATCCTCACCCTCCTAAACGACAGCCTAGGCCTCCCACCCTCAACTCTACCAAACCTCCACCGTCTCAACGCCCTCAGCGGCGACCAAGTCCGCTTCATCAAAGCGCCACCCCAGCCCGCGGACGACAGACGCACCGCACTAGGCGAACACACCGACTTCGGCAGCATCACGATCCTTTTCAACCGTCTCGGCGGGCTGCAGGTTCTCCCGCCCGGCGCAGACGCGCAATGGGTCTACGTCCGGCCACTCCCGGGCCACGCGATCGTCAACCTCGGAGACGCAATGGTCAAGTTTACGAATGGACTGTTCCGCTCGAACATCCACCGCGTGGCGGCGCCGCCTGGCCAGCAGGCTGATTGGACTCGGTATAGCCTTGTCTACTTCTCCCGGCCGGAGGATGATGTCGTCCTCAAGCGGTTGGAAGGGTCGGATCGGATTCCGGAGCTGAGAGAAGGTGATGTCGAGGAAGAAGTCAATAGCAAGGATTGGATCATCCGTCGCGCGTTGGGGAAGAGGGTCGATTTGGGGGAGGTTGACTTTGAGAAGTCGGCAGGGACGGAGCAGTTGAGTCGGAGGATAAAGGTGTAATGGTGTTCTTTCTGTGGATTTTTGATTGAATGCGCAGGGTATGTAGTGATAGTAAGGGGACATAAAAATGTGTTCAGTGCACTCTATCCTTCTTACACTACTAAGGAAGATATGTGGATGACTATCTATAAGGGTACTGACAAGCATAGTCCTAGGATCATTCCCATCATCCCATGCGAAGTATACATAATCCCTGCGCACACAAAGCTAGCCCTGACTCATGAACTATAAAGCAACATAACTGAATAGCATGTAGTGGCATTAAAGCGTGTAGGAATCTCAGTCTTAAATAAAACGCACGTGGTCCAGGCTTCATTCAATCAACACATTGAAGACAGCCTGAAAGTCCTCACACACCTTGATGGCTACACATCTTGCATATTCACTGAGTACTGCATGCATCTGTTTCAGGTCACTTCCCCACAGAACACTACCCCAGATTCTCATACTCTTGATTCACTATCTGCCAAAATTAAAGTTACAAGTGAGGCATGCCCTAAGAGCTGTAGTTCCTTTTACTTCTAGAGAGTAACACTAAGTATGATCATGCTCACATTCGTTTCAGAAGATCTCGAACGGTGAAGCATAGTTTTTTCTATACTCCTTACCTTTTAGAAGCTGCTCGCCGGTTCTTCTCCCGCATGGCTATCCTCAGTTCTTCAACTCACTCACATATGAAGCCGCCTCATCTACACTTGATCTCCCTCCTAACATACGAAGATGCATTTCAACATGGGCAATAACATCTCTCGAGCGCCATATACCAGTCAGAGCTCAGAGTCGGAGACTTTGTCTTCGGCATTGAGCACACCTCGATCATGGAGTATCTCGCCGCCGACATCTCCCAACTATTCCGAAGGGTCGGAAAGCATTGGTGAAAACGACGCCGGTGAGGGTCGATGTACCGCTGACACTGCGATTCATGCTTCGCTAGACCGAAAGAGTCTCGAAATGACAGAGCGACAGGGCCGTTCGCGAGTCTTCGGAATACCCTGGTCAGCAGAACCGCAGCTTAACATATCCGCATCCAGTAGAAAACAGGACATTCTTCAGGACATCCGAACGAGGCGGAGCACATTTCTGCTTTCGCACATGGACATCATACTCCCTCTCCTTGGCCGCGCAAAGTCTTTTGAAAAGCTGGCCAACAGAAACATTTCCGCACCTGCTAAAATACTAGAATATGAAAGCCTTAGTGCGCAGCCCAGAGGGTATGTTGACTATAGCAGCTCCCGTCTTCGTTTTGGGCTAACTTTCGGACAGCCTCAGAGCAGAGTTAAAGCCGTACCAGCTTGAGGGTCTGTCTTTCTTGGTGTACCTGTGCCGCAACGGCGCCGGTGGTTTTCTCGCCGACGAGATGGGTTTAGGCAAAACGCTCCAGACCTTGAGCCTCTTCCAATATTTGAAAGAACGAGATGGTGGACATCCAAACAGCAATGTGCCCTTTCTCGTCGTGTGTCCGCTAAGTATCCTGGAAACATGGTTAACAGAAATCGAAAAGTGGACACCCGACCTTCGAGCATTGAAATACCATGGCGGCTTCGAGCAACGGGACATGGTGAAGAAGATGGTATCTGCACAGAAAAAGCCCAGTATTTTCAAGAGTCCGACAGACATTGTGGATATTGTGATCACGACATACGAGACTTTGATCTCGGAGATCAACTGGTTCTCAAGGGTCTTCCTTTGGCGAGGTGTCGTCCTTGACGAGGGCCACCGGATTAAAAACAGTCGTTCGAAGAGATCGTTGGTCCTTAATCGCATCAAAGCAGAAATGAAGCTCGTGCTCTCCGGGTAAGTTGCAGCCCTTTCTATGAACCGAATGTTGCTAATTTGCCGCGTTCACAGTACCCCGATACAGAATGACTTGAGTGAGCTATGGTCGATTTTCCATTGGCTTTACCCAGAGATCTTTGTGCCAGCCACGGAGAAGCTTTTCCAGGAAGCCTTCTCCTTGAGCGATGGAAAATTTGACCCTGCATTTCTCGAATGCGTCAAAGATTTCCTGAGGGTGATCATGATCCGAAGAACCAAGGATACGCCCGGAGTTGGATTGGATATTCCTCCAAAAAAAGAAACTGTCCTTTCGGTGCCTTTATCGCCTGCACAGCGTTCGTTGTATATGAGGATTCTTACAGGTGCAGAAACCTGGAAGTTGCCCTTGAATGCCTCTGATACCTTGCACATTCAACTAGATGGCCCCTTGTCTGAACAACTAGCAGTCGAAAAAACATGTTCTAAGACAGTCAATTCAGTGTCCGAGGGCTCTGCAAAGACGCCTGGGCCTGGAAAGTACCGTATCACGGGAAATATTCTCATGGAACTGAGAAAGGTCAGTCCGCGAGTTCCCTTCCCATTTTGTGCATGACTGACATTGAGCAGTGCTCCATTCATCCTTATCTTTTTGCAGACGCGATTCCCAATCCCTATGAACTAGGCGAACACCTCATCGATCAATCAGGCAAGTTTCTGGTGCTGAAGAAGCTCCTTCAACATTACATGGCGACCGAGACAAAAGTCATTGTTTTCTCAAACTTTGACCAGGCTATCAACCTATGCGAGGACCTAGTCATGATGCTCCAAGGCAGCAACCGAGCCTTCGAATACGCACGGCTCGACGGGAGAACCACAGGGCCATGGCGCAAGGTCATGGTGCACCTTTTTCAGAACGATCCGAGATACAAGGTTTTCCTGGTTTCGATTAGAGCGGGCGGGGAAGGGCTAAATCTGACCAGCTCCTCTGTGGTTGTGTTCTTGGATGAGGATTGGAACCCTCAAGTGATGCGACAGGCCGAAGCACGAGTGCATCGAATTGGACAAACCCGGCCGGTCGTGATTTATAAGCTCCGTTCCACAGGCACAGTTGAAGAGCAGATGAGCCGACGGCTCGTCAAAAAAGCCTACATCGCAGACAGAGTGACCGACAACATACACACTCATTGCCCCGGAAATGATTACCTCGATATGCTCAAGACTGAACAGGTGGGCATGCCTCAGAACTCGACGGATACATTTGGCTTGCCTTCGCCCGTCTTCGTGGATCAGACTTTCTTGTCTCAGAAACAAATTGATACAGACGAAATGGTCCAGTGGGACATGAGCACTATTCTGAACAAGTGTTCAAGTACCCAAAAAGACGGAGGGCTCTCCGGATGTCTCACCGTTGAACAGGAACAACTCTGGCTTGAGAAGGCCGACAGAGTCAGGACAAACCTGTTCAATGGGATGACGATTGATACAAGCGGACGCCACCTTACAGTATATGCTGAAGAAGATAGCAGCAATCTGCTCCGCTCTAATCGTCGCATTGGTAAGGAAAGGACGGTCATGATCGACGGCTATGCAGTGAGCAAGGACAGCCTGAGTCCCTCGGTCGAAGAGCCGGCGTCCACTAATAAGGAGTGTGCCTCACCCACGAACACCTTTACCCATCAAATAGTGAGTAGCGATCCGAATCAAGGAACATCGCATGCTAATACATCTCAGACGTGCTTCGTATGTCATCAGTTCAACGCGGAGGACTGCGACATATGCCCTCGTGCTTTTCACCCTGCTTGCCTTGGGAGCGTGATCGACGAAGAACATCCGAGTTCGGGAACTTCAATTTGCCCCCATCATTATTGCTGGAAATGCCACAAGAATGCATCAGAAGCGGGACGCCTCTTGTTTTGCTGCAGACGATGCGTGAGGGCATTTTGCGACGAATGCTTCTACTGGGACACGACCACTTTCGTCGGAGCAAACCCCGCGTATGAGGCACTGGGGTACTTTTCCAAAAATGCCTTCTACATCGACTGTCTTATCTGCAGGTGTGCCGAAAAACGCAAGCGTGCATCAGAAACCGAAGGCTGCGCAGGAAAGCGAAGGAAGGTGGTAGGAGGGGAGAGTTGACGCAGGGGACTTTTGCTTTCTGGGGAAACGTTGGAAGATTAGCACATCATACAAAACGTTTACGAGATTATCTAGCCCTCGAAAAGCAGAAGGCAGTGTTCAGGACATAACGTTCATACCCAAACTACCTTACCTTGAAGGAATGGTGCTTCTGTTTGCTTGCTGCTAGTCATCGTACGGATACCAATGTTACCGTCTTGATCTCTCAAGACCCAACTCCACTTTCGCACATTTACTCGACTCGAAACAAATGTATGCTAATGTCCACTAATTAGCCTTCTGCTCGCACGGTGTACTCCGTAGTGGCAACAGTAATCCCAGCAACCAGGATAGTTGCAGTGAACAAGGTGCAACAACCTACCAAACAACTCTCCGAGCCAGGAGTTAACTCTCCGAGTCTTCTGGTCATACGCTGGGCAACATGCTGTACTTTGCCACATGAAGTTTCTTTCCTTCCAGGAATGGGTTGATGCAGAACTAGCTGTCCAGGCTACAGAGGCCACTAGTATCTTAGACCGGCAGTAGTGCGTGAACACCGGAACACTGCATTTAGCGGATTGGATCCTATTTGTTCCCACTGTGCTGGGATGCAACAGGTGGAAAGTTGAGAGAAGGATAGCGGATGAGGACAAATACAATGCTGGAGAGGGGTAAGTAGTTGCCCCCCTGCTGTTAATGGCAGTTGAAGGATGCGCAGTAATGTGGCTTGGTTATGGTTTGAGTAGTCCGATGCCTGAATAATAACCTGACAGTACGCTCTCTATCCAGAGCATTCGGCCCATATTTCGTGGCAATGTTGGAGGTCTCCTATAAAGAGCGAATTATTAGTTTATGCTCATTGTTCTGACCACTAGCATTGGCCTCATGACACAAACCAGCCCCGGACTGTACGACACCACCTCTCCGCTGTACAAGTCTCTAATGGAAGAATGGATGGAAGCACTGTCCGCAGGCGTGAGTCTCCCGACAGTATTGGCAGTCTCTCTGTCCTTTAAGCCTAACGCAATGGCTCTGATTGTATGCCAAGGTCTCATGAATCCTCCAAATCCTCCGCACGCCACCTGAGAATGCGACGGCGGCTCAAGGTACCCCACTGCGCTGCGGCAAGTGGCAATCAATAGCAATGGTGTACAGGAGAAAACGCATACCAATGAAAAAATGCGTCAGATATACACCTCTCCAGTGCAGAGCAATACAATAGCTGGGACCTATATCATCATCACTGCTTGCCTCGCCCGCCCAATGCATGAAATACATAGAATACCATATATGGCTCTGGCTTGTATTTCTGGTAAGGGTATCCGTACAGAAGCGGAATTCTGGTACACCTGAGCGGGGCAAGCGGACCGAGCCGCCAGGGTGGATAAAGTGCAAATACATCATGGTACAATTAAAGTCAGAAAATTGTAATTATCAACTCAGTACTACATGGTTTGAGCAAGTTCATCCTGTCATGTATCATGCTCATTTACTGGCAATGGCAGAGGATGCAAATAGCTATAGTCAGCTTCATCAAGTCAACAAGTTTTCTGATCTGGTCTGAGCCTCGAGTCCAATTGTATTATACGATGCAAGCTTATTCAACCTGAAGCACGCTTCTGACATAATGGATATGGATTATGGATATTTGCTTAAGCATGTTCAACTATTCTATGGCACTCAAGTAACAATGACTCGCAAGCCAAAGCCACACCCTGGGCCGACTAGGAGTTCAGTCCACCAGAAGTAATCTTATAGCTCCTGTGAAACATATCAAGAGACCGAGCGAACCTTGACCGCTTGACGTCGAGGGACAGGGGGCAGAATCAACGGCCATAAAAATGAATCAGGTCTGGCCGGATGCCCGAGCTTGGACATTAGACGGCTGGCTCGGCCAGGCTCGCTGTTGCTTGCTTGCTTTAATCCAGGTCTAATCAGTGCAATGTGAACTATCACATCTCCTAAACTTTAGCCGGACTAGTTCCAACGGTTTTGGAGCTTGTCCCAGAACACAGGACGTGACGAGTCAGAATAGTCAACTCGCGAGGATCATGCTCATCTATCATCTCAGATCCAGCAGATCTGGGGAGCTCGCATAAGCACATGGGCCAAATGCAAATGCCGGCGTTGTGATAGATAACAAAAGGGATCTGACAGGTGTAACTACAACTACCGCAGTCAATCCATACTCAGCAGATCATTCAAAAGGGGTCCGATTGTGCTACCTTACAGTCGCAGCCTCGGTTCCGACGTCCCCTATTTGAGAGCTCGAAAGTTAAAATGCCCCAAATGGAGGACCAGACTGGCTGTCCGGAAAACCCGTCCATTTCCGTCATTCAACTAGTCTCTTGGCACGTAAATCACTCCCTTAGCGTTGTGGACTCGACCCGGCTCTTATGGCAACGATTGACTCAATAACAACAGGATTTTCATGATAGACAATGCTATTGATGAGGAAGACGTCGGCCCTATGGCAGGTCAATTGGTTGGAAAAGGGCAGTCCTGGTCACGTATATACGATTCTGGAATGAACTTGACGGTCTAGACCCTAAGGTAGTAGGACTTCCTGACATTCCCGTGATACATCCACACGGAGTATCAATACGGATTTCCTAGGTGCCGGTTGGCACTGTAAGTTTTCCAAGAAAAAGTGAAATCCAATGTCATTATTCTCCGGCCCCGACAAACTCCCGGAATCCGTAATTCCATCACCCAAAGCGTGGAACTCAATGGACGCCTCAACGGAGGAACTAACTAAAAGAAGACTGGGACGAGTAGCAGTCACGGCCTGAATATGCCTAAATCAAAGTAGTGGATTCTCGTCTTCCGCCACAACCAATAACCCCGGTGAGATCTGGCCAGCGATTGCATGACATGGCCCGAGTGCTGCATTTTCTGGTTTTGGCGTGGGTCGCTACCTACTCGTGTGAACTCTGTTAGAGTGCTTTTCGTACGCGAAGTTGGGTGTCAAGTATGTATTAATATAATATTAGTTATTGCGTCGGTTACAGACGAGATAGATTAGTTCGAAGAGGGAGATTCAGGGGATAAATGAGGATACTATCAGAAATACGCCCTACCCCTCCTGCATACGCAAGTCCGTAGGATTGTCAAGCCAACTGCGTGCTTTCAATATCTAAAAGGTATCCGTGGAGTCCAGTCTCTGACCGTTATTCCACTGCCAGCTACAGACTCAAGTGGGCCTCTGGAAGTCTGAAAATCCTTCTGGCTATTCGGAATCAAGATCCATTGTTCCGTCGGGTCCATAGCACTTACCAGCATACTACGACTGGCGGTTAGGCCACCGATTTTGATGAATCATAACTCAATTTGCTGTTTTATGCTATTGGGAATAACAATAGTATCGATTATCTCCACAGTCGGCACAGATCGGTCCATGACAGGCGATTTTTGAGTTCAAAGCCTGGCGAGTACGTAGTCATTAACGCGGGCTGGCCCGAGGCTCTCTCCCTGACAATGACAGCGGACAGCAACCCTGAAACTCTATCAGTCCTTTGAGCGACAACCCATCCCAATAAGGACTGGATGACGTATGGTGTCTGTTGGTCAGTAACTTGTCATTAATTACTAGAGTTCTATCGTCGTTAATATTGTCTCTATGGTGGGTGGGCATGTTTATGCCCATACACTACACTTTGATATCCAGGGTTGAAGTCGGAAGGTGGTATTGCAAGGAGCGTGTTTCCGTCTTCGATAATAGTGAAGAATTGCAGATAGATTCTACAGGAAGCTAGTATGAGGGAAATATCCCTTTAGTGCCCCGATTCGTCAGATGAAATCTGTTGTGATGTGGTAAAGAGAAATGCATGAAAGTCCATATCGCCAGTCGCTGATAGGTAAATCAGAAAATGCAAAGCGATTGTCGTTATTTGGTAGCGCTCATGTTTGCTAGTCTTTCCTCCACCCGCCTTGAGATCTCCGGGTCTGGTTCCGGTATATTCTTTTTCGGCCTGATCAATTGTCAGAGTCAATCTTAGGAAATCAGACATTCATGAACATACGGGTCTCGTATAGTCTCCGGTCCCTTCTCCTGGCCGCAATTCGAGCAGGTCGTCTCCCGCGGTCGATACGGCGTAGAACATTTGTGGCAAGTGTAGCGCACCCTCTGTCGTGGTTTCTTCCAGGTTCGTACCGGCGGTTCTGACGGAGGTTCTGCGTCTCCTGGATAGCCATCCGGATATTTATGCGGTTTCGGCCTAGAGTTCATCAGCGGCTTGTCAAGAACAAATTGTTGAACTGGTCTCGCATACGGTTCTCGAGGACATTTCTTGCATCGTACGTGTCTGCAAGTAGGGCATTCCGTCACGTCTTTGTTAGGGAACATAGTATTACACCGATGACAAATGCGCCGGACTCTCTGCCGAATTGGCTTGAGGACGAGGTCTTGGCCACCAGTGCGAGAAGGAATGGTGACTTGTGATTCCTTCCTCATGTGTCGAGGTGGCCCATGTCCTTGCGCTGCGCGGATAGTCTCGAGAGCATCTTGCGCCTGATCCCTGGGATTGGTGGAGGTGTGGCGCGGACACTTGGTGCACCGAATATGCTGGCAATTGACACACACCTTGTCGGGCCCAAAGGTAGTTTCGCATCGATGACAAGTGCGGTGAACTCTCAAACGAATCGGTTTGGCAACGCGCTGGACAGTCATGTCGCTCGGCGTTTTCCACTCTCCAGACTCAAGCGTCAGTCCATACTTGGCGAAAAGGGCGCGAGCCTTCTCTTCTTGGATGGCGCTCCAGTGCCTTACCACGGTCGGCTGAGTAGTTGGTTTGGCGGCGGGCTTCTGCGCTGGGGCGGGGGTAGGCCTGGGACTGCAACTTGATTAATATATAGTGATATAGAAATCATGACAAAGATGTCTGCGAAGACGGAGCGAGTGACAAAAAGGGATCTAGCTAATGTTGAAGAATGTGTATAAAAAAAATAAAAAAATAAAAAAGTAACTTACGAGGCAACTTGGCTCGGTTCTGGTCGTTCATTAATCTGCTGCATACTTGATATCGAACTCCTTGCAGTTGGGCTCCTTTTCAAGATCGTTTTCATGCGCTTCAAATACTTGCTGAAACCTTCTTGCCTATCCTCACCAGGTCGGCTAGTGTCGTTTTGACTGGACATCTTCGCTGTATCCTACTATAAAATCTATCTCCACGTTGAATCCGTAGTTGATTGATCCGTGGCGTTGGGACTGATAGAAGTCTAGCGATCGGCCTCCTCAAATATAGCATCAATTTGCTCCGTTGAACTCCGTTCTCATAACATTTCAAGCGCAAAACAAAGGCGATGTGTGGCGATCAAATATTGGTTGACTAGGACGCGTGAGATCGAAAGGGCGGGCGAATTCGAGAGAAGTGGTGAAGTACAGGTATGGCAGGTCTCACGAGCTGTACCGAGTCCAAAGGCCTGGGAGACCCGACGAGACGGTGAGGGTGGAAATGAACGCAGGGACTGCACGAACAATGGGTAATAATAATACGTGAGACGGGCAGGGAAGGCAAGTCTGGGCGGACTTTATTCTGGGTGATTGGCTGAGTAGCGGTCAGTGCACGCAGACACAACTGCAATAGGAGTCAGTTTGACGATCGGTCGGGTCGAATAAGGCGGTAGTCTTGATGACCTGTCAACTGTCTAGTTCTCAGATTGCGTTGGTTTCATCGTCGTGAGGAACAATGCGAAGTATGGGTGTGGTGGTTTGTATATGCGACATTGACAGCGACCGACACTGGGAAACTGGGAAGGAAAGAGCAATACTAATAATAAGTAGGGAAAATGGGGTCTTAAAATAAAACAAAAAAGAAAAATCAAGCCCAGATAAAATTAATATTTGACAGTGAATGGGAAAATGAAGTTAATAATCATTCACCTACCCATTATGGCACTTAGCATAGGAACAAACTTTCTGGGGGAAACGAACGAGCGAGAGGGGTGGATATTGGTGGATACCTTACTCTTCTGTATTTTTACGACTAAATGCAATCTATGTACCCTTGTCATCCCTACAGTACTCATTCATATAGCGCTGTATGGCAAGAGGATTCATGTAGGCAAGCATTGTACTCATTTTATCAGAAACAATCATAAATCCAGATTTAACTCATTCGCCAGAACATTTTATAATTTCAATAACTAACCAAAGGACAAATCATTAACTCCATGGAACGATATTGGGACGTTACCATGGTTTGCTGCCGTCTAGCCGAGACGCTAAATATAATTTGTTATCTTTATCCTGTGGCCAGTTGGCACTCTCGACAATCCTGAGTAATTGAATAATACGCAATTTACCATACCCAAATAAGCGACAATTAATGATGATTAGGCACCGGGTTGGGGCCTCGTCCGAAGTGGAGCTTGGATGAGTTAGGCACTCTTCCCGCTCTGGAACTTTGCTGGAACCGACAGGCGTCTCGCCCAGTGTGGTCTTGGTGTCATTCTACTCCGTACGGAGTGTTTCCGGCTGCAGTGCAATTCAGCGTGAAATTCCATCTCTTGTGGCCGTCAAATGGCCGTGTGGTATGACAGGTTCTGGATATCATTCCACCGATTCCTTGAACAGTCCATTCCGGTACAATATACTCTGCATCGTGGCGAGATATGGATTTTAGCTGCCTGGGAACCGTTGTCCCGGGACACCTTACGTACCTCTCTACATGGTATCCGTAAACGGGCTACGGCCAGTTACGTCTGCAGTCGTCACTGTATTGTAAGCGTTTGGAGCGATTCTACTAAGCTATGCAGTCTGTTGTCTACAGAAAACAGCCATCAAAAGACAACACTGTTTCAAATAGAATCTTAACTAATACCTTACTCATTGAGGGGACCTCGGATTATGATCCCCTTTGATAAAACAAGAAAAGCCTGGCATGAGCTAAAGTAGTTCAGCTCGGACGATTTACCCAGGTGGTAAATCATTGAAACCATACAAAGTTACATACTTCGTAAGGTAGGTATCTATGAAGAACTCCAGTAGTACAAGCGCGCCAACCCTGAATAATGAACAAGACGGTTGTTCCCCCCTAATAATAGCCATGAATGGCAACAATGGCACCTTGACCAGTCTGCAGATCCCGAGAGCCCCTTGCTAGTGTTCCGCCTGGCTACATGATTCATGACAACATTTGTATAATTCTGCATATATCATTGATGTCATACATTGTTCTGGTATGAACAAAGGTACTGATTTCATAAAGAACAGCAAAGAACCATCCCGCATATGCCAGCAGCACTGCCTAGACGCTCTACTGCAGCAATCTCATATGGGCTGAACTAACCCCTCAAAAGCACGCCGCTGTAATTGGCGACGCAATAGTCCGAGTGAGCGCCAGAAACGCGACCAGCTGGTTATGGACCGCCACTTTGACGCAATGACCGAGATGATAAATGGACATGCATGAAATCTCCAACGGCTTCCAGCATGCGCCGGGCTGCAGATTCGCGCTTTAGGAATCCTGGTGGTGGCCCCTAGACCACATGGGGGTGTTTTGGATGCTCCTAATGCTCCTCATGGCAGGGATGGCGCGACTATCAATCTGCAGATTGGTGGACTGTCTCAGGGAGATTTCTACCTACAGGGCGGGGTGTGACGTTGCTCGTTCTGTTCGGCTTGTTTCCATGATTCTGGATGATGGTGATGATGATGATGATGATGATGATGTGTCCTCAGGACTGAATATTGCTGTGGCCTGATCTATAGATAAGTTACTTCAATGTCAATCTTTATGCCATACCAACGTACCGGTAATAATATGTACCATATACCACCCGATATCACCAATTGAACCGGTGGAGTACTGGAGTTACCAGAGCAAGACACGGTGGTCAGTGCCTCCGAAACCCACCGATCCACTCACTTGGTGCCTTCAGAGCTGCAACCACTATCTACGGAGAGGCCAGTGTCACTACGGAGTACAAGCCGCCAGCCACCACTAATAACACTAAATAACTGCTCAAATAACCGGGTCTCTGGGATCGGGGACGTGGACCCAATCACAATCCCTTGACTCTGCTTAGCTAGACAGGGATAATTGATTCCAGCTAAATGATTGAAATGAAGGCCAAAAAGGCCGTGGTGGCTGCCACTACCAGCAGGGCGAGCAGTAAAGGAGTGCAGTCGCACAACACCACAGGTCCACAGCAGATTCAAATCACCCAATAATACGGTAATAAACCTTATCTTGTCTTGTCGGTTTACTCCGTTTTTATCTGGCCGAGAATTCTCCAGCGCGGATTTACCGTAATTGCACAGTAAGACAGGATCTGTATCAAGGTTTTACCGGTTGTTTCGAATATAACCACGATTGATGAAGCATCTATACCGATGCTTTGTTATTAATGGGCCCGATCTGCGATCCTACGGAACAGGTGACAAATTTCAGCGCTCTTGGCACGTCTCTAATGGCTTCTGTGAGTTGCTCTGTGACAATATAGTATCCATGTCACATGCTTCTACCCACTGTCGCCGTAAGAGAACCGGAAGCACATGCAATATGAGTTAAATGAGCTGCACAATAGCAGTTGTAAGGAATACAATGGAAGTCATTGATGATAGATTCGACGGTATCTGGACAGAGGATATATGTAGCTGCTGCGTGGGTAATGGTGTATCGCCGGTACGTCGTTGCAGCTTCGCAGATTTGCAGGATCCTGGTCAACAGGGATAATCCCTCCGCAAAAAACGACTCAATCGGCCATCCTAGAATGCAATACTAACACATATGGGGAAAGGAGCAGTCCCGGTACGATCATTACGTCGCATCCATCTTCCCAGGACGCAGTCGAATATCACAGTGACTATAATATCTTGCCATACGAGCCGTTCTACAGCTCGATTAGTCCGACCCTTGAAGCTTCGATTCGATGGAAAGTATATCGTCCTCATCCTGAACTTCAATCACGCGGTTGACTTCTGCCGTATTGCGCATCAACTCCACAGCGCCGGCATATGTCATTCGCATGGATGGATTGCAATTTTCGGGAAGATAGTAGAGGAGGACGTAAGGGACCGTCAGGCGACCGGAACCCTGGTGAGAAGAGAAAAAGTTAGTTTAGCATATGAACATTCCTTGAACAAACGTGAGGGGGTGCCTTGGAGCCTCCAGCATGGATGCGACCTACCAGGGTCAAGGGATAACTCAAAAGAATGAAGCGTGGGGAAGATTCAGGCAGCTCGTCGGCCAGATCCTCCATTTTCGTGTAGACTTCGCCATCTTCGGCTCGGATCTCCTGTGTCTTGGAATCGATGATGTCTGCCAGATCGATCGTCAATCTTTGCCTTTTGTGAAGGTTCGCATCTCAAAAAAGGGGTCTTGTGTGCCTTGCTTCAGCAAGTAGCGTATGGCTTGTCGTCTAGGGTCAGGAAATGGGTGTCCTACAGATGACCGCCTGCGGATCTTTCGCTCTGGAGGTTCCCAAGCGGAACTTGCGCAGTTTCTCTTTTGTCTCTGGAGAGAAAGAATATAATCGTGATTCAGACTAAGAGAGACATATCATCATCAGCAGAGCATTCCTCGCAGAAAGGCATGATGCGGGGCAGAAGGAGCTCACCATATTGCTGGGAGAAGAGAGAAAGTAAGACAGACAGCCGATACAGATAAAGTCGGGGAAGATGGAGCGCCTGTTTGATAAGTCTGCACAGGGAGCGGAAAGACTGTCTAAGGTTGCAAAACTGATGATTTGAAAGAAAGATACTCCCCGTTTGCAAACGATAATGAAGAGCGCGCGAGTGCGATGATCGGAGATTCCCCACCCCGCTCTCTCTGAGCCTTCATAAAATCGTCTTGAATGTCCCGCAGCCTGGACTCTTCTCAACCCGCAAACTCCCCGCGTTTTCCCTCCTTCTCCATGTTAAATCGTCTCAATCAGCTTTCTCGCCATATCTCCCGGCCATTGCTTAGTACCAGCTCTATCGCTCCGATCGCCTCGCGAGCCTCATTCTCCCCCCTATCCGGCAAACCGTCTTCCATCATGACATCATCCGTGGTGCCCAATTCATCTAAGACCATCCACACGGCGGCATGTCTGATCATTGGTGATGAAGTCCTCGGTGGAAAGGTGAGACCTCGTTATATCTTTCTGTTCTGCGGAGGGTCGGAGTACAAGACTAGCAGACATTTTTGCAAAGAAGTCCCATGGGTCGGAGTTATGGAAATAGCTAACAGCTTTCTTATGTCAACGAATCCAGACCATCGACACCAATTCGGCCTTCTTTGCTAAATATTGCTTCTCTCTTGGTATCCAACTCAAGCGGGTGGAAGTCATTGCCGATGATGAGAGCGAGATCATTGAGGCCGTGAGGCGGATGAGCAACAACTACGACTTTGTTGTGACCAGTGGAGGCATTGGGCCAACGTCCGTACACGCCCTCACCTCCACCTCCTTGACGTCTTCCCCAATATAGTATTGCGAGTGTTCAAAGCTAACTTCTTCACCGCGTGCTCCTCAAAAGCCACGATGACATTACCTACGAATCGATAGCCAAGGCCTTCGACCTGCCACTCAAACTTCACACACTTGCCTTCGAGCGTATGAAGAGACTCTCCAAGCCTCACCCCATGCAGCCTCACTTCGACTGGGATACCCCATCCCCCGGCCTCACCGCAAAGCTTCGGATGGTCTACCTCCCGCACGACGAGAAGCTCCCCGCGGAATCACAAGCCCTCTTCGTTGCAGACGACATGTGGGTGCCCATCGCCGTCGTCAACGGTAACGTGCATGTCCTCCCCGGCGTGCCTCGCTTGTTCGAGCGCCTCCTCGAGCACCTCAAGCCCATTCTGCTGCCACGGTTGGTCAACCCGGAGGGCAAAGGTATCTACCGCTACCTCTTCAGCACCCCGCTCCCTGAGAGTGCCGTCGCGCCGTACCTGACGGACCTTGCGGCCCGGGCCAGTGTGCACGGCGTCAAAGTCGGCAGCTACCCTCGTTGGGGTAACAAGCGCAACACCGTCACTCTGGTCGGAACTGACAAGGCCTTCATGGACTCGGTGATTGCGGAGGTGGAGGAGAACGTCCAGGGCAAGAAGGTGTCTCGGGAGGATGAGCTGGACCCTCCGTCTGAGTCGGAGTAAAGGTACTACAGGCTACATTCACAGGATGACATTTGCGTGTACAATCTTTGGCTGATAGATAAATTCTGCATATGTGGCAAATAACATTGGACTGGTTCCTAGAAAGGAAAAAAGTGATTGACCTTGATGGTAATAATATAATGAATAGATGTCAAAGTATAGGATCCATCTCACTTTGCTAGACTCGCGTGAGCTATCCTTCTCTGAACATCTCTCAGCATTGGCCTGGCGACATCCAGGCATAGCAACTGCTCCGATATTAGCGGAATACCATACCGTCGCCTAGTGCAATTGCAGCATTTCCGACGAAATGAACATTCAATCAACATCTAACTCTTAGCATTCCGGACTAAAAACATCTGCATTGCTCTTGGAATGGTAACTTGACAGCCGCTTTGCGATCACACCTCGAGGAATAATGCGTAAAACAACGCATGCCGCCCCACGGAGGACCAGCACCAACCAGCACGGAGACAGCACTCATTGCCGTGGACACAACTCTGCTCATCGATTAGTATAGAGGGACAGTAACAAACGCGAGGAAATGACTCGACATACGCAGCGCCCACGTTACTCTTCGTCTCGACCCTGGACAAAGCGCGCTCATGGCAGAAGGGACAGTCAATCCACTCCGGATTCTTGGCCAGATATTTGAGCTCCTTGGGGTCGTTGATGTCGCTTGGGCGTCTTTGCTCTGAGAATAAATTCGGCCTGGGTAGGTAGGGTTCTGGATGTGTTAGTGCTGAACAAGTGGTGACAGTGTATGGGGATGCTCACTCGTGTAGTGTCTGGCCTGAGATTCTCCGATTGAGTGTCAGGGTGTCGTGTCTGTCGTTGTATGTGTCGAAGATATGTGTAGTAGACATGATGGTGTTTCAGACAATAGAGCTGAGCCAGATACTCTCGGACTGATGATTGTTTTGTATATTAGGCGTCCAGGCAAAATAAAGTAGATATCAAGTTTTGCATATGTTGCACGTCTGGGGTTCTTTGTCTGATGGCTATGTGCGCTGCGCCTCTTCGTTCAGGCCCTTAATCTACTGGACGTCTTAGGCAGGACCCATAGAATGACAAGAAAATAAGCGCATTTAGGCATACTCGAGCAACCAATCAAGCAGAGAAACTTGACACATGTTGAAAATTTGCCAATGAACCATTCATGGGTAAATAGTGGCATGCGCCATCCATCCCGCGTGTCTGGGGAATGAACTGTAGCCAAGCCTGCGCTTGTACGCCTTAAGCCAAGATAGTAGATGGGCCAAGCCTTGAAGGACCGCGGAAATCGCCCCATGTACCTAAGAGCCATGTTTGTACCATTAGTGCATGCCTGCTGGAAGCCTGATATTCCCTCTATAGTATCTGGTCTCAATCATGGACCATGCATCCGCTCGAGCCGCAAGCAACTTCATCCCACCGGAGCAATATGCAACCAATCTATCTGGTCAAGGGACGCATATTAGGAGAAGGAAGTACGGATATGACAGCCGCTGAGAGTAGGTGTACAGAAACGCATTGTCCAGTCAATGATGCTTTATTCGTTGGTCAACCAAGTCAAGCCAACATTGCTTAGCTCAATGGAGCTTGGCTCCTCGGTCAAGGTCACTGCAATAGTGAGTGGTCGATCTAGGAAAGAAGTTGACCAGGACCTAGCCAGCCGCAGATTTGTATGATGGCAACTAATCGCAGGTGTCACTGTCAGTCATGAACCGTTTAGGACATGGCGAGAGCCTCCAGCTCTTTGAGGCAGTAGAGAGACCTGCACGAAGTGCTTTCCCAATGGCTAGTCTATGAGAATCCAGAACACTCGTCACCTCAATTCTCGGTGTAGATTCAACTGAGCCATGTCTCATGTTGAATGGAGCTCTGGCCGCTGCTCCATAAATTCCCTCCGATATACCACCCCTGCGTCATGTTCAAAGCGCAAACATGTAGGTGTTAGCAGGGAAGCCCATCTCGGAGGACCAGGTCGCTCCTTTGGCCCAATTTTCCGGGACACTAGAAAGAGAGATGCCAGGTCCCTGCCTCCGACGCTCTTGCAAAATCTATAAATTGGACGACATGTGCACCCGAACATTCCTGTCCTACATTCATCCACATCGGCTTCCCTTCAAATCATTCTCAACCACAAGGTGAAGTCCTCGAGCCTTCTTATTGCCGCGACTTCAATGGCTCACTGTCCCAGGTATGAGAATCAAGGCACACAAGACGCTCAAGGCTGCTGACATTGCTGCGTAGGGTGCCCTTATGGTCCGGATTCTCCAATCGAAGGATACACCATCGTCCTCATGGAATGGACAGGAAAACCTCATACAGACAAGCAAGAGGTCACCTTCAAGGGGACCATTCAGGTAGCTTCACAGCCACAGATCCCCCTAAGCTCGCCGACTGACAGACCCCAGGAAGTCATGAGTCGAATCCTCGATGTCAACCTCGGCTCCTCGCCAGTCTCGGCCAAAACGACATCGGCCTCAGTGCCCGCGACATCGAGGAAAGAAACAAGGTCCGTCGTCCCATCCGCTCTCCCCTTAATGGCCGGTAAATCGAGGAGGCGACTGGAAAGTAGGTCACTCTGATTGGAGCAAATGAATGGCAGTTTTTCACATCAGTAACGCATTCATGGTTAGTTCTCTGTCAGGTTTCACCACTTTGGCCAGTATTAAGCAATCAATCTGAGGACCCCAAAGAACGACAACCCTTGCGATAATGTCGCTTTGCTTTGCGCAGTAAAGTAATCTCTTGGCTGTTTTAGTTTCAAATCTAGTTCTGCTCTGTCTCTGAGCGCAACGGGCTTCCGTGGCATAATGCATGGACATGTACATATAGTATTGTGCAGGGGATCCTGCATGGGGAGTTTGTTGATTTCTGCACTGCCATGCAGGATGCTATGGAGAGGCTGTGACTGATTAAGCTGGAGGTTAGAGCGAGGGCGGAGAGGAGTACACAAGACGTCATATCAGATGACCACAACTCTTGGAGAGTGTGGTATTTCTAACCAAAAAAGGAAAATCACCAGTCCTCGCTTTACAATTCCGCTCAAGGCACAACGCTGATCTTACTTTGATGTTCTATGCCAATTAAAGGGGAACCACTCAAGAATCCATACCTGGACTTGACCTTGTCTTTCCGATGAACCAATTTTCTTCTAGAAGTCCCATGGATTTTTCTAAAGCGAGAAAATACTTGTAGTCGACAAGGATATATGCAGGAAATATGGATAGAAAACATGCCATCAAGGGGAAATAAGAGAGAGGAGCATCCATGTAGAATCGCAGAGGCTGAAAAGCAAAATGGAAAGGTGAAAGGCGTAGTCCTCCTGAAGAAGCGTTTGGCAAAGGACCATGTTCGCTGCATATGGTTGAAATATTAGAAGGGAATTGGGCACCAGGGGACGCCAGGGGACGCCGGGGAAATTGAGGACGGATCCGATGGCAAAGGAATAGGTAACGAAGACACGGAAGAGACAGCGACGTCCTGATGGTCACATAAGAAACAAAGAACAAAAGAAACGGCGATGCTGCGCGAGTGAGAACCAAGATGTGAACCATGACAATATCATGTACCTATATAAATGCACAATCTATTGACAGGTTCATCCCTCATTGTGCCAAGGGAACGGGTATTCATCAAGAGAACAATCTTTCCAAAAAAAAGACTAAACAGAAACAAAGGGGGAATCGAACGGTCATGGAGACGATGACAACCTCATGCTGAGAGCAGACATCACCTGATAGCGAACCTTGTACAGTACGAAAAGTCACAGATGCAGGTGTATGGCCACACCGCAGTCTCGGCTTTCATCTCCTGAAGCCAAGCATAGCTCTCTCTCTCTCTCTCTCTCTCTCTCTCTTTCTTATCTTTCATTCAAAGTCGGATTTGGCGACTTCCTTCCTCCATATTGACCTGCGCGCCTGGTAACCACGTAAAGCAACGTCGACCCAATTACATAATAATGCATTTTCCACAGCAGCCAGCGTTGTCGCCCGGCTCGCTCACATCCATCTTGCCTTCAGGGGCACGGGTGCCTGCCGCACCAGAACCAGACGGATATGACGACATCTCCTTGTTGTAACGACGAATTTCGCGCACGAGGTCGTAGAAAGCGTTCTCGACGTTGATGCGGGATTTTGCCGACGTTTCGATGAACTTGCAACCGAACTGCCTGGCCAGAGCCTCGCCCTCTGCATAGCAGATGGCCTAATCAGTATATTGCCAAGGTCGAGTGAGAGGAAAACTCCGGAGGATCGCCTACCTTGTTGAGAGACGGCTCGTTCCTTCTCCAAATCGCACTTGTTACCGACCACGATGATAGGGAAGTAGTCCTTGTCTTTCACACGCAGAATTTGTTGTTGGAAAGTCATAATCTCTTCGAAGGACTGCCGAGACGTAATCGAGTAGACCAGGAGGAAGCCTTCGCCAGTTCGCATGTATTGTTCACGCATCGCCGAGTACTCCTCCTGTCCGGCAGTATCTAAGACATCCAACAAAGCGACCTCATCGTCGATGACACACTGCTTGCGGTACGAGTCTATACAATAGGAAAAGAAATATGTTGGTAAGCACTCAAGTCGTCAATGACTGCGCCAAAGGAGCCACCTACCTTCAATTGTTGGGTCGTATTCGTCGACGAAGTGACTCTGAATCAGTTGGATTGTTAAGCATGACTTTCCGACACCACCACCGCCGACAACAACTAGCTTGTACTCTCTAAGGAACTGCAATTGAAAAGCTGTCAGTCATTTGTGACACATTTCATTTCTTGGGAACCTGTGGCGATCGAAGGCGTGATACGCAGGGATGGAGGCGCTGCGGTGATGTTGAGAGGGAAAAGGGGCGGCGAGCGACACAAGGGAACAGGATTTTCGAATGATCGGCGTACCTTTGAAGCCATCACGGCGAAGTCTAGGTTGAAGTTACCTGGAAAGGATGGAAGGGGAAAAAGAGAGCAACGATCGAAGCTATCCCAACAGCAGCAGTGTCAGCGGGTCGAAAAAGTAGCAGCACAAGTTTCTTTTGCAAAAAGGGTCAACAGTCGGGACCCAGCTTGTCGGGAGTTCCGCGCAGAGCGAAGACGCCTGGAGAACAGTCCACAGCAATGGCGGGTCCAGTACTCTAGTAGCGACTAAGCCAAGCTTAAAGTCGCCAACTGGGGTTGGGAAAGAGGATGATTTAGGGGGATTAGGGGTTTGTGCAGTCTGCACTCTGCAGAACAGAATCGGGAGGGAATTGGTTGCGCGCCGGCTTTCCGAACGGTGGTGCTACCTACTAGAGTATCTGGGCAAAGTTTCTCTCTACTCCGTACTCAACAGAGTCGAGATGATGATGATAACTTTCTTGCAAGAAAAAAAAGTGTTCCGTGTGGGCTTAGAAGGAAGACGGGTGGAGATTTGGAGAGGGTGGTTTAAGGGGAGTAAAGATGAGCAGGAAGATGTGGGGATCAGATAGGGGAGGAAGTCCCAGAAAAGAAGGAATCCAGAAATTCGTGGTGGAAGGCAAAAAAATCTTTCCTTGGACTGCCTTGTCAGATTGTCCCCCTAATTAATTTGTAAGGATTGGAAAGGATATGAAGGAAAGGGCATTAAAAAATTGGGAAAAGCGAGAAATAAAGCAGTCTGCAAGTGTAACTCTGTAGCACCTTTTTTTGAGTTCCCGATCCTGTAAAGGTGTGAGTGAGACCAGGGAGAGGATTGGATGATTGGTGATTGTGGATGGAGGTGTCTACACCTAAGTAGCAAATGGGCCATCAAATCAATAATGGATCATCATAACATTACTAGGCGATATTAATATGAAGCCAACTATAATAACAATAAATATCAGTAATAAACAATAACAATAACAACTTGTGTCCTTTAGTTAAAAGGGGTTGATTTGGTCAAATATGGGTCATTTGGAGGGATGAGCGTGGTATTAAGTGGGCTGGCCGTGTCAGTAACGACGTATGGAGTAAGGTACGTAGGGTCCACAGTATCATCCGATAGATGGGCCACCTAACGAGGTAGCAATCAGCTACTACGTACAGCTGTTTGCTGATGTCGCAAACAAAGCCACTCCTGGCCGCTTCCCTGTGCCATTGTGATGGATAAGAACTCAATCACAATTCTCAACCACAGCATCAAGATGGAGCTGTCAAAAAGACGTTGCAGATGATGAAGTGTTTCATGCCAACGCAAACGGGAGCAATCCAAATCTTGATTTAGCCATCAGTACTCCGTACACTTTACCGCTACCATATATCCCCAGCCATCTAAGCTCCATCAACAAATAATAGATAACCAACGGCGCAGACATTGACTGGATACTTTTCAATTCAATATGCTTATTAACTAAATGACTAACTACACAATTCTTACTGACTATCTAGCCTAAGTTCGATGTCTCCTACTTATCTACAGGCTAGGAAAGCAGGTAAGTGAGGAAAGCAATTTTCCCTCGTCATTTACAAGCTCGTCTTGTTCTAGAAGTATGGCGTTCACAAGTCCTGTAAATGAAGGATCAATAGCCACGCCCATCAATAATGCGATTGTCTAGCCATTGAATTTGTTTGGCTTTCTCCGGCCCGTGGTCCATGAACTCCCCCTGCCGGGATATCACCAAAAAAAGCGAATCAACGACGAACCCCAGATCATTGCATCGGTAGTGTACCGTCGAGCATTACGGATTTTGAGCGATATTGGGTTGAGGACGCGAATCTAGGAAAACGATTACAATCGTCACACTTAATTGGTTGCGTCTGCTGCAGAAGAAAGCAAGGTGCCTGGCCCAGAGTCTTAGACATCCGAAAAAATCTCTCTCAGGTCGATTGAAAACCCGCGAATGAGGTCATCGTTCCTGAGCGTTTGGAGAAAAAACTGTCAAACTCAGCCTTAACCTCAGGCGCAACAGTCTGGTGTGTTTCACCACCTCTTGTCCCTTAAGGAACACATAACACCGTTCAGTTATTTAAGACCTGTTCGCGGCTAGCCATTTAGTCGCAATCTAGATTCAGGAAGCGAACCAGTTAGACCAATAATGATAAGAGACCAGCCCGATGTCTTGGGAAGAGTTTTCCCCACGCCTCCACTTCTCTTAGGCCCATTGCTAGTTCGCTACGAATATGATTGCTTGGGTCTGTGGTCTGACTGTCCACAACTGACGTTGGGCTCTGGTGATAAGACGTGGGATCATGGGAAGCCGAGATGGCTTCTATGACTTGAATGACATTTGACGATATGTGATCGGGGCACTCATATTCTTTGATTCAAACCACATATGCTGCAATTCGTCTCTACAATGAAGTTATCCCCAATTAAAGGGGAATTTCCTCGCTTCTTCAAGGTCAGCATCACTTCAGTAGCTCGCATACCGTTGCATCATCCCGCGTCCAAACCAATGTCCCAAAGTCGAGCGTCCTAATTTGGGGATCGGGAGTTTGACAACTTCCGAGTTGACTGGTAACAAGAGTCTACCAGTCACGAAGTCTCCTAGCTGCCCGTTTTTTGCTGCAATGACCGAGATGAGACAAGTCACCTTGAAGGAGAAACGATAGATGCTGATCTCCAAGGCATACCCCTCCTTTCCAACAGATGGCAAGTACACAGAGATCATCACCATAGAGCAATTTATCCGTGTACTCCAGGCCCACCTACATTTGTCCGATGATATGCTAAGATTTCTTGAGCCAACTGTCAAATCCGCCTGTACGAACGATGAACTAAGGCAGGTCGAAATGCCTAATATGATGGTTCCCAGCAGGGATGATCATCAGTTTGAGGTAAAGCATCTGCAAATCGAATCGCTTGGCAAACACTGTGCGTGGCCTTTCGTTTCAGAGGTTGTGAGGATAAGATAGGAGCTCCACAGCCTCAGTCATCACAGGAAACATCAGTTTCCTTACCTCAAACAATTCTGGTTGAGCCACTCGTCTTAAGGATGCGATCCAATGTGTTGCATGCGATACATTGCCTGATCCTTGGACACTAAGACAGGGATCGTGCGTTAGCCTTGGATAACAAGTTTTTTTCCATCGAGCTGGTAGCAAACCAGTCATTGCATCCTCCTATCATCAAAATTGCTTCCCCATCTTGTACTACAGCAAGGATATGCTTAAAGATAATGACGTCTGGTCGGCACTTTCACCTTCCTTGATTCATACTTCTGACTCTCGCTATTTGTGTATTGTCAACCGGCACCTGTCATTGGAAGTCTGCGATTGTATCAAATGAATGCGCCTAGAAAGCTTTTAGAGGCAACTAGGACTGTTCGATGCTCTAGCAAGCTCATTATTCTACAGGGCAGAACGCAAGCAGGGGTCGAAATCAGGGAGATACTTGCAGCACTTTACTGCCATCACTCAACAAGTACTCCAAGGCGTATAGGAAGCACCAAAGCAATACGCGCCATGTAGACAGCCCTTCAGACGATTGCCCTTTAGAACTCAAGGAAATAATATGATATCATCATGAAGCAGCAGAATCTAGCAATTATCCCTGCAAATTCTCGCTGACCGGTAAATCTCACACTATGGACTGGGTAGTCTGGGGAACTGGCATATAACTCGGCCCGATACACCTAAAATTTCGCGAACGACACAATCACCACCGCTTTGTAGTAGTAGTCTGTCGACACGAGCAAAGGGACTATTATCTTACTAATCGAAACGAGGTGATCAACACACCTCCATATCCCAAAAGGGTAAATGTACATTCGCCCACTCTGCTCATTCTTATCAAGATTTGAGTCAGGTTTGAGAGTATCCGTGGTCGACGGCGGAGCTTATTCTGGTATCGCCAAATGATAGCTCAGTAAGGTTTCCAGACATGTGGATTTGTTCTATGGGCTTCTGGGATGTGGATGTACCATGGTACAGAGCTGTTTTGTGCCCATGGACCGAGACTGAAAACGCTTTCCTGTTTAAGGTAGGGACCAAACTCAAGGACCCTTCGTCACGGGGCAAGGATGATAAAGAGGACCACTACCTTATTTGAACGAGTACTGAAGTTGGTGCTATGCCGCCAAGTCTTTTCTGGTGGTGTGGAATTGAACCTGTGATGTACATGGCTGTATATAATGTGCTATCTATCTTGACTGAATTGATGGCCTAGGAAGCCAGTAGGTATCTCCCTCTAAATGTCGGTCTAACCCTGTTTTGCTCTAATTCTTGCGGTACATATGGCCAGGGGATGCCTAAATTGGACATGTCAGCTATGTCCTGTAGCAGCCAGAAATACATGAGTGTATGAAGGGAGGAAACCCACCTGGTGACTTGGGAAAATAAGAGTGTCGGCAATTATGACATTTTCTCGCCGACCCGCAGCAAAGACGATAACTTCAGCAATGTCATCCGGTGTAAGAGGTTCGCATCCACTAATATATGTTAGCTCAGCTCTCATATATGCAGTGGATAGTCGTACGCATAGACTGCATCAGCCTTGGCCTTGTCACCGTAGAACCGCACAACTGAGAATTCCTGCAGTAGGCTTGATGTTAGCTCGGTTCTTATCTCCTAGATCCCGACACCTTACCGTCTCGACTTGACCGGGATCAATCTCGATGATGCGGATTCTTGTATCAATAAGCTCCTTTCTCAAGGCATCGGTGAACGACTTGACCGCAGCCTTGGTAGAACAGTAGATACTGCCGCCAGGGTAGGCTTCGCGGCCGGCGATACTGCCAATGTTGATGATGTCTCCACGGCCACCATCGGAGCGCTTCTTGAAGATGGGAAGAATGGCTTGGGTCATGTTGATCAATCCAGTGACGTTGGTGGAAAACATGACATTGATATCCTCAGGGTCGATTTCGGGGGCTTTGGCTACACCCTTGACGAGACCACTGTTCCCATTTTAGTATCCCACCATTAGAGCAGTGCAAAAGCGAGCAGCTGTAAGACTTACGCATTGTTCACCAGGACATCAATATCTTGAAACTCTGCTGGAAGGGACGGGACGAAGTTTTTGACCTCTTCCGGGCTGCTGACGTCCAGCTTCACTGGCAGTACCTTGACACCATCACCGACCTCCTCCTTGATCTCCTCGGCCAGCTGTTTCAGAGAGTCGAGTCGTCGTGCAGTTACGATCAGCTTCAGGGCCTTCGGTGACGTCCGGGCAAACTCCTTAGCGGTGCTCCTGCCGATACCGGACGATGCGCCAGTAATCACGATTGTCTTGCCTTCAAGGCGCTTTGCCATTGCCGTTGCCATTGTGCGTTTTATAAGAGTGGTCTGAGATGCAG